GCTAACGGAAGATAAATCTACAATAGTCATTGACTCAGAGTAAAAATGGGAGGATTTTACCTTTTGCGGTGAAAACATTATCCCATCAACTTCTATAGTTCTATTGTAATATCACTAGGAACATCTTGAAACACACTGCATAAGATCATTAATTAGCAGGTCCAATTTCCAGCTAAAACTAACATACATTACAATTTACATACACAAGCCAAGATCAAATAACATAATCTTCCTATTTAGCCAGTATAAAGATCAAGTGTTTTGTTTGAAAACGAAAATTCTGATGCCAACAATCCCAAATGCATTCTTAATCAAATAACCCAGAAGATTGAATGTCAACATTTTCTCAAACATGATTGATAGTAGTTGGGAAAATTTTCCGGACCTATTTGCTGCAGTTATCCAAAGCCTGTAGCAAATATCAAAGAAACAGTAGTTTATTGATGCGGTTCACTAACAAATATCTAATTTAAAAAAATTGAATTTATCTGCAGCTGAATCACGTTGGGAGCTAGGAATACAAATCCGCATCAAATTGGGCACAGGAATAAAGAACAACTTTCAAACAGGAAGTCTGGGAAAGGGATAGCTAAAGCTATAGACGATCATACTACTAAAGCAGATAAAGGAAAGAGCATCGTGATAAATGAGAAGTCTGCTACATTTAAAGCCCTAGAGAGTGTTACTGCAGCTGATAAAGGAAAGAGCATTGTGATCTATGAGCAACCATCCACCTTTTATTGATAGAAGTCAATCAGTCCCTTAGTTTAAAATAAAGAGCACCAGAAAGCATTTCCCCTAATTTAAGACTTTCAGGCCTTTCCTTGGCATTTCTTCGAAATTCTCCATTCCTTTCACTTCTAAATAAGTCAATACATACACAAATAACTTTGTTTCCTAGAATATAGAGAAGACAAACCTGGCTAATCCTTGTGTAGGGATGCAGCAAACATCATGAGTCTGATGATAAATCAAAACAAAAGTAAATACGCATTTCATATTCAACTCATTAACAAAAGTAAAACTCAAATATGCAGTTCACATAGTACAACAATTTTCCATTTATAGGTTCAACCTTCCTAAAAAAATAAAATTCACATATTAGCTTAAATTAAAATTCAATTTAATATTAATCTAATATTGTATCAACATTTTTATTCAATTTACAAATCTATCAAAATGGAAAATACTAACATAAATTAAAAAAACCAATAACACAAATATAAAATATGAATATTCCTCTAACAAAAATGAATCAAAATTAACTACACAAAACTTATCATAATGATAAATACAGTTTAAATAGTTTAAATACCGTGAAAGAAGTTAGGAAGCGGGCTCCTAACAAAGGAAGTCGGGGACGGCGGACAGAGACTGAGAGCAGCGGCGACGGAAGAGCGGGCGACGGACGAGCTGCTGCTGCGATGGTCGAGCTGCTAAAGCGGACCTCTTGCTGCGGCGGACTTCCTGCTTCCGCGGAGCTCTTGCTGCGGCGGACGTCCTGTTGTGGCGGACCTCCTGCTACGGCGCTGGTTGCAGGGAGGGTTTATCTTTGACCGATTGAGGAAATGAGGAGAAGGATAAGATCTGAAATTTCAAATGGCTTTGACAAATTTTAATGTATTTGTTGCGGTTTTCTCATACCCGCAACGAAAAAGTCCATAAAAAATCAAAATTCGAGTATTTGTTGTGGTTCTCCTTCGACCGCAGCAAAAGTATCACATTTTACATCTTTTTGTTGTGGTCGTAGAAGAACCGCAGCAAATACATATAAATTTTGTCTATTTGCTGCGTGATGGAGTATATGGCCCAGGAACCCCCGGCCCATAGACTCCTACTTCTCCTATACAGGCCCATTGAGCCCATAGAGCATCCGAAGCCCAAATATGGTGGCCCAAGTTCAAGGAAGCCAAAATACACACTGGGGTGCCTTCAGCCACCTTGGCCGAAGGCACCAAAACTCACAGCATAGCTTTTTTTGGCATACAAAGCTACTGGGAGAAAACGGCAGAAAAAAGGAGCCTTCGGCATTGTAAGCCCTCGGCATCAGGAAAGCCCTCGGCCACACATGGCCTTCGGCTACACGAAGCCCTCGGCCACACGAAGCCCTCGGCTGCCTGAGGAGCCTTCGGCTGAACAGACTCAATCATCGAAGATTCCCTTTGGAGACAGCCAACCACCGCATTTAATGCGACGTCACATCCACCCACCACATTCAATGCGGTGAACATGCCACTGTCGGTGCCACCCCGATTGATGTGACCCCTCGGCCGTTGGATTACTGACACGTGTACTCTCATCGCATTTATTGCTGCTATAAATAGCAGCCCTTATTCTCCTTGTAAAAGACGCTGAGTTCATTTAATAAAATCGACTCTCTCTCCTCCTATTTTGCTGTGACTTCTCTCTAGTTGTTCCCGCAATAACCCCTCGGATAAGATACCCCCCGGGTAGACTATCCATCACTGCGGTTTAACTAAGAACCGTAGCAATTGGGTAGCAGCAAATAAAGAAAATTTTAGTAGTGTAAGTCTACCCGAAACAAAGACACTCTGATTAGTGGAAATTAACCCATCAAGAATAACTTTTAGCCTATTAGGCATTAGCAAGCACTTCAGTAAAACGTTGGGAAAACTGTCAAATAGGTCCTTGAACTTTCATAAAAAAGTCAATTAAGTCCTTATTTAGGAGGCTCTGTCCGGCCATCGCGATTTGGGGCGGTTCCCGGTGGAATTATTTGATGAAAATTTTTTAGCGTCTTATTCATCAAGTTTAGTTTACTCGTACCAAATTTTAATTAAAACTTCATTCGGGAACACATTTAAATTAATTCTTGAAGATAATTGTGCAGTTAAATGAGCAGTTATCTTCAAGAATTAATTTTAATGCGTTCCCGATTGAAGTTTTAGCTTAAATTTGGTATGAATAAACTAGACTTGATGAATAAGATGCTCAAAAATTTTCATCAAAAAAATTCACCGGGAACCGCCCCAAATCACGACGGCCGGACAGAGCCTCCTAAATAAGGACTTCATTGACTTTTTTTATAAAAGTTCGAGGATCTATTTGACAGTTTTCCCTAAAAAATTTCATTATCACATTACAGAGAGTTATGGGTTTCTTAGGACTAAGGATTAAATTCGTTCTATTAATTTCATTGGGATTATGTCTCTCTCGAAACAGATATTGACAATACTCGACGATGTCTGTCCCAATAATGCTAAAAAAAATCCAGGGATTATCATCTAGTCTAGGTGACTTATCAGGGTGCATTGCCAAGACTGGCTTAGGATGTTTTCTTTTGGACTATTTTCAGTCCCAGACCAGATCAGACTAGACCAGACTTCTGTAGTTATAAAATACACAGAGACCAGACGTTTACCATACCAGATCAGTTCAGACCAGCAAATTTCAGTCCAAAAGAAAACATCCTTACTTACCTTCATCACTCTAATAGGATGTCTTAGGTCATGATTTCACCTCTTTCACCCTTGCCAGTCCCTCCATCATGCCTTCGTTACCTTCCTATCTGCTCGGCCCAAATAACTCCTCATAGTGGTGGTGAATCATCCTCCCCAACGTGCTTCTGTCACGTTCCCATTCACCCGAAGGAGTTAATAATGCTTTGAGTCTGTTCATTCATCTCCTCTGTTTAACAGCATTATGAATGAATTTAATATTTCGGTCACCTTCCCAGAGCCAAAATTCTTTCGCTCTTTGCTGCCAAAAAATATTCTGCTTATGAATCAGATCCATTAAGATTTCCTTGACGCGTTGGAACTTTGCACCTTTCCATCTGCAGCCCTCTTCCCGTAGCGTGGCTAATCGGTTTTCGCAAACCTCAATCCGAGTTTGAAATCCGACATGATGTTTCTTGCTCCACAATTCTATACCACAACCCATTAATCTTTCCCACACTGTCAACTGACCGAAGTTAACCCAGACCCTTTGGATGACATCTCTAATTTCATCCTCTATAAGCCACAAATTTTCAAACTTGGTTTGTTTCCCGTATACCCCTTTGAGTACCAGCTAGCCGAATGTAGAGCATCAGGTGATTGCTTGAAGGACCTTCCATAAAAGTGGCTGTGTAGCCTGCAAATGCATCCAATTAATCCTCGTTTTCCAAAATGCGATCAGGTTTTTCCTCAATCCAACGAGGGGTGCCTCTTCCCATCTCCCATGTCCATTGGCATCCCTTAAAAGGGACATTAACCAGACCACTGTTGTTCATATCTGAAGCCGCAAAGCAGCCAAGACGCTGGCGACAGCCCTCCCCCCCTTTCACTGTAAAAAAGAATGTCGTTGAAGTATCCTAAAATGAGCCATGGCAGTGTTGACATTTGAGCGAGCTGTTTAATTAATTCCCAAGAATCATGTCTTCTACATCGCTCCAAGAAGCCATAGTATCCTATTAGTCTCCACGACAGATCGTCTGGCTCTAACTTTATTCTACAGTCTATGTATGTTGTTCCATGCCTAACAATGTCCACCTCAATTCCTTCTTTCCACAACAAACATAGCCCACCGCTCAGGACATCACAATCAACTGCAAAACATTTGTGAAATCCGAGTTTTACTCGTAATTCTTCACAGCGAAACGCTACCCGCCTTCGTCTCCATCAAGAACATAATCTCTGGCCTCTTTGCTTGCATCACATCGGATAACGCTTGTACTCTTGTTAGGTTTCCCAAACCCCAACAATTTCAACTGGCAATGGCCATCTCAGTTTCTCGCAAAGCAGATCCTCGCCCAAACAATCGCGAATCAATCGCGAACTAGGTCCTTGCCCAAAAACTCACGAATCAATCGTGATTAGATGCTCACGACCCGGATCCTCGCACCACCTATCCTAAAGGATCTCAGATCAAACTTCTCGCTGTCGTGTCGTCTTTTTTTTTTTTTTTTTTTTTTTGCTAAATAGGGGTTTTCATTAATTAATCAACAAGTCTTTGAAGTAGCTTTGAAATAATTAGATTCGCCAAAAATTAAATTGTTTTAATACTTCAAAATAACAAAACCAAATGATACAATATAACCAACCCTCACAAAATTCCATCTCAAAAGACTTTTACACTCAAGAGGACAATGTTGCAGCCTTGTTCCTAGGAGCTGCTTGAGTACCTTCTCTGAAGTTGCTCTTGAAACGGCGGGGAACGTTACGGAGATACCTCATGCGGCCAGTTCCGGTGGTCTTTCTACGGATCGCCTTTGCACTCCAATTGTACTTTCTAGTGCGAGCAACAGGGTAAGCACAAGCGGAGCATCGGCTCTTCTGCAGATGGAAGCTCCGGCGACCACACCTCACGCAGAGAGTGTGAGTCTTGTTCCTCCTCTTACCGAAACTCCCTGTTCCCTTTCCCATTGCTTCGTGGATGCAGAAACCCTGCTGTCGTGCCGTCTTGTAGCCATACTCCAACTTGTCATCGCACAAACGATATTGTGCTGCCGCACAATCTCTTTCTCAAACGCGTCCCAGTCCTTTTGATTCCGTCCAGCTGAGACACGGCGGCGCCGACCCTCCCAAAACTTGCCCTAGCCAGTGTGCGCTAGGCCCATCTGCCTTTTTGCTAAGAAAATCATTATCATTACCCTAGTGCCGCAAAGGCTCCCACCTACGGTGGCGTGGGGGGGGTCGAATGTACACAGTCTTACCCTTGTACTAAAGCACAAAGAGACTGTCTCCGGATGACCCATAGTGAAAATCGCTTCCAAAATTGCATGGACTGACCGTTGATTCATAAGAAGAAGCGCAGACAGTTTAATGAGTCATTTTGTTTTATTCCATCATATTCTCAAGCAAAAAATAGTGGGTCTTTTGCTCCATTGCAAATGATGGAAACTTGCTAATTATGAAAAAAATATTTGAAATATAATTTATGAATAAAATCAAGAAAAGTTATATGAAAAATAACTAAAATGCTCATCTGCGATACCTTCAGTCAATCCTGCAAGGAAAAAAAATTTGAACCTTACTTATTTTGATTATTACACAATTCATCTTGTGGAATAAAAAATTACATACATAGTATTTGTTAAAAAAAGTTGAGATTGATAAACCGAAAAACGAGAAGTTGCTAAATACTATTATTTGATATAACATATGTTTATCAATTTTCAGACAAGTTTTTCGTATATTATTATATACGATTGAAATCACTGTGACACTCTCAAGATAGGTTATAGTCTTATCGATTGAAATCACATACCAATTCAATGATAGTTTATGAGTATCGTCATTAATGTAAAACAAATTTTATAATTATAATAGATTAAAAATCTTTCCAAAAAACAATTTTTCAAATTGCTCAACGGTCAATTTGCCCAACTAGAAGGCTTTGGGGATGTTCCCCGCCCGGGCCGCCCCGATTTTCGATTGAAGGCCACTCCTTTAGTCTGCGGACATCGACCACCCACTAATTCCTAGGGCACCCAATTCCTCTTCTTTCTTTCTTTCTCTCTTTTGCTGCTGATCACACATAGTCAGGAATCCTTCTTGTACAGGGTCATCAGGTGAGAGATCTTCCTCCCAAAACTTCGGACCCCGAAAAAAACGCCAGTGTTGATCAATTGAGGGATTGGTAGGTACTCTTGGTCCAGTCTTTCTGTTTGTTTCCATTTCCGTTTCTCCCTTGTGCTTTCTTTCCCATTATCTGCCTGCTTCGCTAGACATATTTAGTCCAGTTACGATGTGAAGTGTATTCGGTATCCCATTATAGGCTGTAGGTAGGCTTACGCCTTTCCGCATATGCAATTTACGTTCTGCAATTTCTTGTAGGCTATTTCTGTGGTGTACGCTTCTGTCCGCATGGAGGGTTTATCGAGGGTTTAGCCGTTTAGTCAGTATAAGTTGCGCCCAATTCTCAAAATAAGCCCAATTTTGTTTTAAACCTTGGAGGTATTCTTCCCTAGACAACTGCTTCAACCGCTATCTTCCCTAAAGCATGCTTTCTCTGGCCTCTCCTGCTTCTGCTTCAACTGCCAAGAAATCTTTTCTTTTCCCTCTCAATCATTCACCACTTTAATATTTTCCTTAAAGTATAATTTTAATTTATTTACTTTTTTTTTAATATTTTTTTCCATATGTATTGTGTTAGGCAAGCTAGTATGCAAATATGGGAAATAATTTATGATTCTTTATATTGGTCTAAATGAAACTTCGATTGTATGATTCTTGATATTGTAAAAATTGTTAAAATTCTCACAAATGATGCTAATACGTAGTAGTATGGTTTAAATGTTGAGTTTTTGTTTGTCCATTACTAATGATTGTTGTCAAAAACTAGTTCCTACTCTGAATTTCAATATGAAAATATTGAAAGGCTGCGAAAAATAATCAGACTAATAGATCAGATTTTTTTTTGCTTTGAGTGATGTTTGAATAAACTATTTTGATGCATTTATTATGTCATTGTTGTTGATTTTCATTATAATATATGTTGACCTTTAATGATTATTTTGTTTTGCAGGATTGACATTTTGTATTCATGGGAAGGCCTTACCCTAGGAGTGGAAATTCTTCCAATGATGAAGAATCAGATGAAGAAAGACATTCCGAGTGTAGTTCTTCTTCTTCTTCTGATGATGATGATTTTGCGGTGCGGACAACAGGCGGCAGCGGCATGAAGAGGAAGAAATTGGGGTGGAACCCGGTGACTCCAGAAGCAGAATGTTGCCCTGACTCCATCACTGAGTACCTAAACACGCCATTATCAAAGCGCAGGAAATCTGAGGAGTTGAATTTAAAAGTAAAGAGACATCTCTCATATTCAGGCTGGTCAATTAACTCATTTAAGACTCCTAATAATGGACATCGAGTGCGTTATGTTTCTCCTGAAGGGAAAACTTACATGTCCCTCACCCAGATATGTCACCAGCTCGTCATAAACCCTAATAATAACAATAATCATGAATGCCCATCTGGATCTGCTTCTTCAGTTTCTATGGTTGTTGATCCTATACCAGTGATTAAGCCTCAAGCATGTAGAAAGTTATCTGTCTCTCCTCCTCCAACAGTTGTGGGGCATTCTGAGTCTTCACAATATCTTAAGGCAGTAACTGATTATTTGCTTTTGGGTAAAAAGAATACCAAAGATCCTAAAACAAAGGCACTCAAGTCAGAAGCTAAGGAGAATGCCCGGAAGCATCTGGTTCACTGTAAATGGAAACTGTTTAAAGTCTCCAAAAAGGACAGAATGGAATTACGCTACAAGTCACCCACTGGCAAAGTCTTTATCTCTCTTTTCACTGCCTGTGAATGGTATACCCGGCAAACAAATTCAGAAGGCATGGGGTATCTGGAAAGCATTGTTGAATCAAATGTTGCAGAAGAGAAAAAAGAACAAGTCGAACCAGAAGAGGAGGAAATGGTTCTTGGAATAGGTAAAAAAGAACAAGTCGAACAAGAAGAGGAGGAAATGGTTCTTGGAATAGGTAAAAAAGAACAAGTCGAACAAGAAGAGGAGGAAATGGTTCTTGGAATAGGTAAGTTCCGAAAGAAATTAAAGTTTTGCTTGGATGAATCCAAGAGTAGTGGTTCAATTGAAGATTCCAATATCCGGCCTTTAGTATCATCCTGTAAAAGAGAGAGGCGGAATGGTTTGGCATGGTTAGTGGAGAACAATGTGGTTCTTCTTGAATCGAAGGTGCAATACAGGAAGAAGGATGGAAGTGTGTTGAAGAGCGGGAAAATTTCCCGTGATGGCATACTATGTGATTGTTGCCAGCTGGTTTATGGACTCTCCAGCTTTGAAGCTCATGCAGGTGTCACATATCACAGGCCTTCAGCATTTATTTTCCTGGAAGATGGAAGGTCATTATCCGAGTGTCAGTTAGAGCTGAAACGCAAAGGGGACAACCTTAATAAGAGCGCCAACTTTATAGAACATGACCTTATATGCTCTGTCTGTCACGATGGTGGTGAATTACTTCTTTGTGATAAGTGCCCTTCTGCGTTTCATACTATTTGCCTTGGTCTAAAGGTAATTTCTTCTTCAAGTACTACTGCATGTCGTTTTTAGCTCTTGTAATAGAAGATCAGAGGAGTATGTATGATGTTTAATAACTCCCTAACATTCTGTTTTCCAGGAGGTTCCACATGGAGACTGGTTCTGCACATTTTGTTGTTGTGGAATTTGTCATCAGAGTGGATTTGATGAGAATGATAAAAACCAGTTGACAGATAATAGTCCTCTTTGTTGTTATCAGTGTCAATTCCAATGTATGCCTTTCTATCTCTTTAATAATACGTCTTTCTTAATTTTCTATAAGGTGTTTTTTTCGTTTCCTAATCGTGTTCCTCATTTGACCTTATGTGATAATTGATAACTTCTTGCAGATCATGTTAGGTGCCTTAAAAGTAGGTGTTTAATTGATCTGGACATCCCGCCTCAAGGAAAGTGGTTTTGCAACTACAAATGCCAACAGGTAATTCAAACAACCTTTTCTTGTCTTTGTGTGTGCATGATTTATATCCTTTCATCCCCCTCCGCACACAAACAAAAAAAGGAAAAAATTAGAGAATAGTTGATCAAGGTATAACTTTTATATTTTGACAACATGGTACACCTATTAAAAAAATCATACTTATATTTTATGAAGAATTTTCTGATTTAGTCCATAATTGATGTTTGTGTCCATTATTTGCTACTTTACTTACTTGCAGATCATTTAATGTAATTAATAAGGCTGCCCATATTATGGACAGCCCATTGAAAAAGTCCATGTCAGCGCCGTGTGAGTTTGAATGGTGGTGACATGTGGCGTATCCATTGACTTTTTCAGAGGGTTGTGACAAATTCCTACAGAAAAGTCAAATGCGAATAAAGTTATGTGGCAAATTTGTTGGTCCCATATTTATGGGACCAAATTAGCCAATTGCTATTGTAAACTTTATTTATTGGTTAAATAAAATTAATGTAACTGTCACATTCTTTAGCCATATCATAACATTGTATAAATATATTATTGTTGTAGATATTTGCAGGACTTGATCAACAGTTCGGAAAGCCGATTGCAGTGGAGCCAGATAATCTAACATGGACATTATTGAACTCTGGAGATGATGAGAATCATAAGAAGCTTAGAGCTGCTCTTGATGTTATGCACGAGTGTTTCGAGCCTGTAAGGGAACATCTAACTCAGAGTGATCTTCTTGAAGATGTCATGTTCAGTAGACGGTTAGTTTTATTTCTTTAATTTGCAGTAGATATTGTTATTATTTTTTTGATTCAATCAATGCCTAATAAGCTTGTCATATTGCCACAGCTCTGTGTTACGCCGTATAAATTTTCAAGGGTTCTATGCTGCGATCTTGGAAAGAAACAATGAAATTGTTACGGTGGCTACAATTAGGTATCTCATTTATACATTAATCAATTGCTTCAGCATTTTCTTTATCTCCTTTATAAATACACACACAACACATGTATGTATGTATGTATGTATGTATGCTAGAGAATTTGTCTCATATAGGAGTAAAAAGTAGGGAAAATTCTTAAATAGGAGTGGGTATGTTTTTTTCCCTAAATAGGACCATCTTACTCCTATTTGTAAACATAGGTAAATTGCATTCCCCAATTGCCCCTGATTTATATCCCTCGATCTACTTCATCTTCGCACAAATTGATCACTTCCTCCTGGGCACATCAATTCAGCGCATCGTACTCCTTCACGCCACCGTTGCTGACTTCCCTGCGCACCATTACCGCTGCCATGGACTCTTCTCCGCCTTGCACCGCCGCAGATCGAACGTTCTCCCTGCGCACCGTCATCGATTCCTCTCCATACATCGCTGCCAGGTTTCTTCTTCGCTTCTTCTTCTTCTTCTTCTTCTTCTTCTTCTTCTTCTTCTCCTCATCATCATCATCTTCTTCTTCCTCCTCCCCCTATTCCTCTGATTTCTGAAATTTACATTGATTTTTCTAATTTTTCTTGTATTCTTCCATTTTCTGGGATTTTACATTGATTTTGTTTGTTTTTGGACAGCTATTTTGCCGTTCTGAACTTCTGATTTCTGATTTCTCGGTTAAAAAAACGATTTTCCAAATTTTTGGAAGATGACTTCACTATTTGCCAAGTTTTTGGCAGAAATGTGTATTATGACAATCGTACTATGGCAAAAAATTAAACCTTTTGTGTTAATTGATTGTTTCTGGTTTATACTATTATCTTCGTGTTTCTAATTTCATATTTTTTTACTATTCCTATGTTGTTTTGAGTTTTGACATTCAATTGGTTAATGTATGATGGCAACACATTCTGCCAAGTTTATGGCAGAAATCTACAATGGCAGTCATATTATGGCAAAAGGGTTTTGTGTAAACTGATCTTTCTAATTTTTTCATTAATTTCTTATTTGTGATTGAGGATTTGAGGTGAATTTGTTAAAGTGATTGTTCCATTAAAGTTTGAGATTTTTTGAACATTTAGTTGTTACTTCATATTTTGCCAACATGATGGCAGTTTTGTATAAATTTGCAAAATAAATTTGCCAACTTTATGGCAGTTTTGAAAATTCATTTTCATGGCAGATTTGTAATTAGTCTTCAAGGTTAAATATGTGGTACATCTATGGCGCCAGAGTTGTGACGACAGCGGCGGTGCTCTGGATTGAAGCGGTGGCCACGAAATTGACACTGGCGGAATTTTTGATAAAGGTGTTGATGGTGACCAAAGTGGCAGCACCGATTGTGACCATTTGGCGGCAACGACGGTGGAGAATAGTGGCGGTGGCGGCAGATTTCGATGATGGTGGGCTTGCTAAGGATGGAGACGCCGGTGTGGGAGGCCGTAGTGAGGGCGGATGGCTAGAGACAGTCGGCGCATGGCGAGAGGTGTTTTCCATTTGCCGATGCCCAAAATTTCGGCTCACAGGCCTTGTGCAGCGTGCATTAAATAAATTATTATAATAGGGGTGTTTTTGTCCAATGAAGCTATTTTTGATCCTACGAAACATATGTTCCATTTAAACTCCTAAATGTGCAATTAAGTTTATTATTACTCCTATTTGAGTAATTGACTCATGTATGCTAACATGCTGTTGTTCTTTGTCATGATCTTAAGGGTTCACGGAGAAAAGGTAGCTGAGATCCCGTTCGTTGCCACACTGTCCAAATATCGGGGACTTGGAATGTGTCACATTTTAATGAACCAATTGGAGAAGGTACACTTGGTGCATTATTTTTCATGTGCTACTTCTTTTAGGTTGATCTTTTAGAATGCAAGGTAAAGTGTTAATACTTTTTGCTTTTTGTTCACAGAAACTTTTGGAATTAGGAGTGCAGAGGTTAGTATTGCAGGCCATTGCAGGAGCATTGGAGACATGGACTGGTTCGTTTGGCTTCTCGTTGATGACGGAAGAGGATAGATTGAAGTTCTCAGACACCAATTTGCTCAGCTTCTATGGTACAGTGATGTGCCAGAAGATGTTATCTAATAAAGACACCTCCACAGAATCAAATCAATGTGCCCCAGATGAGGTGGACGGTGTTATTGGTCCACTAGTTTCAAGAGCTTCTCAGCCTGATGAAGAAATATATGGCAACATGTGTTTTGAGGGTCAAGAGCAAGAAGAGTTCATTGATTCACTGTTTGGCTTAAACTAGCTAGTAGCTAGGGTGACAATTTATAGTATTTTCACATTCTTTTATTTGTTCTAGCAGGAGAAGTAGTGCAGGACTTGGGATCAATTGTGAATGAACAAAGAAGCAATTTTTTTTGCAAATATTAAAGCGGTCACTTGGTATAGTCTAATAGGTAGTTTATAAATGCTGAAATACTCCGTACTGCAGATATATTATTCCTAACCAGCACAAAACTTGGGTAAGTTGGTTTCATCTTTTCCTTTCCCTGCTTCCAAATAAATAAATTTGAACAGTTGAACTACACAAGTTTATGTTTCTAAATAAACATATCAAGTAAAAAGCAAGAAGCTTTATGTGGGAAAAAGAAATATTGTGTGTAAAGTGCTCCCCCATTCTCTAAATTGGGTTCTCGCTTTTTGAATAACGTGTCTGACATTAATTTAGAAAAAAAAACACGAGTCATTTAATTTTTATCATAAAAGAAGATAAAAAATATTTTTGAGGCCAATAGGAAAAAGAAAGAAAACTGAGTTACGATGGGAGGCTAGGAACAATGCTCATTTTTTTTAATGCAAGTCCAGGAGCAATACTCTTGAAATTTGTGTTTGATTGTTTACCTTAACTTTAAAAAAGAGAAAATTCCCAAAACAAGAGTAATAATAGTGTTTTTTTTCCGAGGTAATAACATAAATTCTAAAATATTAGTATTTTCTCTGTCGCATAAAATTCTTTTCGGTTTGACTTGGATTGAAAATGTGTAATTGTGGTTGAGTAATAAAAAGTTAATTAATGTTAATCACACAAAATTTCCAAAAAGAGACATGAGAAGAGTTTTTTGACATCCAAAACGGTAAGTTTGAAATTTTTTTATGGGACCGGGGGAGTATTATATTTTTATCTAAATATGAATACTTTACTATCATCTTGAAACTTTACTACCATATGTAAGCATTTCCAGATATCAAAATATCAAATATGACTATTCTCAATTAAAAAAATATCAAATATGACAAATTTTTAAGCATGGATAATTCTTTTTTTCATGCACCCCATTTTTGAATCGATGATGGTTGTGAATTGTGAGGTTTGACAAAAAAGAAAATAGACGAAGAAGAAAAATGGACTTCTACGGAATGTATGGCAATTAGATGTTGGCAGTTGGCCGTTAGCTGATTCTGTCAGCTGTTGGATGTTGGCTGATTTTGTTGGATCTTTTGATTAGATGATAGTATTAACAATTTATAGAACGGTGTTTGGTTAAATGCCGGTTTACAATCAGCTAATAAATTGTTAAATGACTTCTAAGAATATCAAAAAAGTTTTTACAAACTACGTTTATGTTAAGATTATTGACGCATGCGTACTCATGTTCACGTGCATCCTTCTTATACACATAAGTATAGTTAATCTAACTTGGACAGCTGTATTCTTATCCATATAGACGCAGAGGTAGTATAGCTTTGTACCAATACTCGGTTAGATTAGCATTGACCAATACTATTGTTTTGATAATTCTTGTTGTATCACTTATTATTTAAAGATGATCAATACATGATAGTTTATCGTGGAAAATACATTCTATCTTGGTATCAGATGCCTGTCTTTCTTCTCCAATGGCCTCTCAAAAATCTTCCCTGCATTTCACCCTGCCCTTGCCATCACCAACATAAAAAATTTCATTCCCATAACATTGGACATGGAGAATGTAGAATACTCTTCATGGGCCGAGCTTTTTAAGATCACTACTTGTGCATATCAGGTTGAGGATCACATCTTCCCCACTGCTGCCAGTGACTCGGCCGCTACATCTACATCATCTTCTCCACCTCTCGATCTTACCCCGGAACAGATCCTTGCCGCAGCCGCAGCTAGAGCCGAATCCACTGCTCTTTGGAATCAACTTGATGTCGTAGTCTTACAATGGATTTACGATACAATTTCTCACGAACTTTTGCACACTATTATTGAGTCCGATGTCACTGCCAAGGAGGCGTGGGAACGCGTTGCTGATCTCTTTCTCGATAACAAACACTCTCGGGTTGTACATCTCGAGACCCAGTTCTCCAACACCCGGCTGGAGAGTTTTTCGAGCATCACCGCTTATTGCAAAGCCTTGAAGACTCTGGCCACTCAAATCAGTAATGTTGGGTCCCCAGTCGAGGAAAAACGATTGGTACTGCGTGTTGTTAATGGCCTTTCCGAGCCATACAACACGGTCGCCTCCTTCATACAACAAACGAATCCCTTGCCCACATTTTATGAAGCCATGTCCATGCTTATTCGGGAGGAAACCCGGATGGCCTATCAGCTCGCCTCCTCAGCTGCTGCTGCACTGGTTGCATCCACCCCTCCTGTTCCTGCTCAGCTGGCGCCTCATGCCGCATGTCGAGCCCGGTCAAATGGTCGCTCCAGATCAAATCAACGCCCAAGACGCTTAAATGGCCATTCCAATGCTCCACCTCCTGCAGTTTTTCCCTTCAGCGGTCATGGGCAACCTGGGTCTTGGACCCCACCACCATGGCAGTACTGGATTCCGTAGCCATGGGCAGTACCTCCGTGTCCTTACCCAACTACCTCCGGACAGTCTAGTTATCAACCGCGGCCATCTCCTCTGGCCGGCATTCTCAGGCCCCGGCTTCATCAACCTCGCACCGTTAGTTATGATCAGCCCACAGATATTGCCTCTACCATGCACACCATGAGTCTCACACCTCCGGATACAAGTTAGTACTTTGACACCGGTGCTACTTCTTGTATGACGGCTAACCAAGGTATTCTTACGTCTTATTTTCGTGCAAACACTAATAATCATATCATTGTTGGTAACGGGTCTCACATCCCCATTTTGGGTCATGGTCACACTACCCTACCCTATCCACACCTCCACTTCATCTCAATCACGTACTTCACACTCTCCCAATTTTACTAAAAATTTAATTTCTGTACGTTGTTTTACCTCCGATAATCACGTTTCTGTTGAATTTGACCCGTTTGGTTTTTCTGTGAAGGATCTCCGAACGGGCATCCCAATTATGAGGGGTAACATGCCAGTCGAATTATACCCCTTGTTCTGCTCTCCCTCAGTTCCAGCATTATCTTTTATGGCAGTTTCAACAAATATTTGGCATAATCGCCTAGGACATCCCGACGATCCCATTTTTTCTCATCTTAAAGCTAATAATATTATCAGTTGTAATAACGTTTGTTCTTCTAGTTGTATTTCATGTCAACTTGGGAAACATAATAAACTATCTTTTCCTATTTCTGTATCTACTACCTCGTCTCCGTTTGAAATAATTCATAGTGATCTATGGACTTCATCTGTTTTAAGTTCATCAGGTCACCACTATTATGTGTTATTTCTTGATGATCACACTAAATTTCTTTGGGTGTTTCCCCTACAACATAAGTCCTAGACCTTTTCTATTTTTGTGCAATTTCATCAGTATATACGCACTCAATTTGAACCATTGTTCTAAAACTCGCTAGACGCTAGTCGGGCGGTTGAGGGGCGCGTAGCGCCTAGGCGGCCGACTAGGCCGATTTTTTGGCCGACTAGGCCGATTTTTTCGGCCGACTAGGCCAATTTTTCGGCCGACTAGGCCGATTCGGCCTCTACGGTTAGGGCCGCCTAGGCCGCCTAGGCCGATTAATCGGTCCGCCTAGGCCGATTTTTAGAACAATGATTTGAACGTCTCATTAAAACATTTCAATGTGATAATGGTCGTGAATTTAATAATATTTCTTTCCAACAACACGGAGTTAAATATGGTATGCATTTCCGTTTCTCTTGTCCATATACTTCCCCTCAAAACGGCAAGGCTAAATGCACAATTCGGTCTCTAAATAATATTGCCCGCACTTTATTACTTCATGCATCGCTGCCCCCGACCTTCTGGCCTCACGCCATACAAATGGCCACCTATCTCTATAATATTCTTCCTTCTGCAACCTTACCCGTTACCTCCCCCACTGAAAAATTATATCGCCAAACTCCCGATTACTCCCACCTTCATGTATTCGGTTGTTTGTATTTTCCCCACACCCCCACTCACAATATTCATAAACTCCACCCTAGATCAATTACATGCATTTTTCTCGGTTACCCCTTAAATCATAAGGGTTACAAATGCTATGATCCCCACACCAACAAAATAATTGTTTTTCGCCATGTCACCTTCATAGAGGATCAATTTCCGTTCCAAAAATCTATGTCGGCATCACCCACTACAACTGATGGCCCTTACCCGTTTATTCCTTATATCTTATCCAAAACCTCCCCCGTTATAGCTCATGAGTCCACCCGCAACACACCCACCTTTCCAAATTCAGCCACGTCCCAAACACCCATCCATGTGTTACAACCCCACAATCTGCCTCATGCATCAATTATTCCTGCCAAACTCGTGCTACCACAGTCAAACCCCCATCCTACTCATCCAATGGTGACCCGTAGTCGTGCAGGTATTTTTAAACCCAAACCCCAATCTAATCTCACTGTTTCTCACAATACACCCAGTCCGATTCCTAAGTCTCCCATTCTTGCTCTTAATGATCCAAATTGGAAATCCGCAATGAATGATGAATTTAGTGCTCTCATTAAAAATAATACCTGGGAGTTGGTTCCCCGACCTCCTAACACCAATATTATTCGTTGCATGTGGCTTTTTAAACATAAATACAGGTCTGATGGATCACTTGAGCGTCACAAGGCTCGCCTTGTGGTTAATGGCCGATCTCAACAACCTGGAATTGAGTTTGATGACACTTTCAGTCCAGTGGTCAAACCAGCCACCATCCGGACAGTTCTTAGTCTTGCTCTTCATCACTCATGGCCCCTTCATCAACTCGACGTCAAAAATGTGTTTTTTACATGGTACTATTGATGAAACAGTTTACATGTACCAACCGCCGGGTTTTTGAGACCTGTCTAAACCTCATCAGGTATGCCGTCTTCTCAAATCTTTATATGGTCTCAGGCAGGCACCCCGAGCATGGTATCACCGGTTCTCTTCTTTTGTCACCACCATGGGTTTTCGGCACAGTACATCCGACCATTCCTTGTTTATTTATAAACATGGTTCAGATGTTGCATATTTACTACTCTACGTTGACGACATAATTTTGACCACCTCAACAGACTCTCTTCAGCTTCACATCATCTCAACTTTGAGCTTGAAATTTGCTATGACAGATTTGGGACCATTGAGTTTTTTCCTGGGCATTGCCGTCACCCGCAACACCTCTGGCCGATTTCTTTCGCAGGCTAAATATGCGCAAGAAATAATTCAACGGGCCAATATGGTTCAGTGTAATCCAGTAGCTACAACCATCGACACCAATGCCAAACTTGGTGCTATGGATGGACCACACATTGATAATCCCACCTTTTACCGTAGTCTTGCTGAAGCACTACAATACCTTACTTTCATCCGCCCGGACATTTCCTATGCCGTTCAACAAATTGGTCTCTTCATGCATGATCCCAGACACCACACTTTAATGCCTTAAAATGTATTTTACGCTACGCTCGTGGTACTCCTCATCTCAGTCTACAGCTCCGACCATCTTATCTCATATACTGATGCGGACTGGTCCGGTTCTCCGAACATTCGCCGCTCTACTTTGGGTTATTGTGTTTTCTTGGGTGGCAATCTTCTATCCTTGTCTTCTAAACGACAACCTACTATATCCCGTTCCAGTGCTGAAGCTTGTAGCTGAAACGTGCTGGTACCTAATTTATTGCTTGAGCTACATTGTCCTATTAACAAAGCCTCCTTGGTCTATTGTGATAATATCAGCTCCGTCTACGTGGCCAGTGGAGGACCTAGGGGGGTCCTAGGGGGGAAAGTGCCCCCGCTTCCGACCCCGAAATTTAGTATTAGTACTTAAAATTTAATCAGTGCCCTTGCTTTCGACCCCAAAATTTAGTATTAGTACCTAAAATTTAATCAGTGTCCCCATTTCTTGATATAAAACTATGACTATTAGATATGTAATAATTTTGTCAAAGAGCATATGTAAATTGTTGTAAGACATATAAATGACTACGGAGTTATGATGAAGCGATTTCATACAACTGGACATGTTCTAGACACGGTCATTTTTTGAAAAGTGTCATTGATGATCATTTTTTGTGAAGTGCGAATTATCTTTTTTCAAAATTAGAAGGTAATGATAGGACAAGACTTCTAAGGGCTGGTTTGCAACAGCTTTAAAAAAAACACTTCTCAGCTTTTGGCTTTAAAAATCACTTATTTACCAAACACTACCAATTTTTTTCTTTTCTCGGCTTTCTTGTCAAAAGTGCTTTTCCCCTTTTTATACACCAAAAACACTTATTTTACCAAACACTATCAACTTTTACTTTTCAAAATCACTTTTTTCTCAAACACTATCAACTTTTACAATTAATCACTTTTTCCAAATCACCCCAAAAGTGCTTTTTTTAAGCAGATGCTGTTGCAAACACTCCCTAATATGTGTGGTGAGCTTTATGGATTTAAGATCATCTTAAATAAAATTTCATACACAAGATATATTCATTGTTTTCTTACCAATTATAATTAGTTGTTGTGGCTATTGCACAAAAAAAGTTTGTGGATACTTTCTTTGGATATGTCTCCATGGTTATGTTACTAAAATGTTGGGATCCTCATGTAAAATAAAGAGCGTATTCCGACAAAAATAGCATGATACCATAAGAGATTTATTAGAATAGGGTGTGGTAGTAACAAACGGGAGATTATTGAATCAAGAAATTAGAGTAGTTTAGCTCGGTCGGGAGTTACATGTTAGGGTTCACAATTTAATCCCAAGTTGATGAAGGAATTTTGGATACTGTAATTCCGTGGCATGATGTTTAACGTTGGACACTGTCCTAGCTCTAAATCAAAATTGTGACCGTTTGTAGTACAAAAAAACATCAATTCTAATCCAAAACCAGAAATGGTGTCAGGATGGTTCAGTTCTAATTCATATGAAGTATTATTTTTTTCTTTCAAGAAACCGAATATTATTATTTAGAATTGTTTTAATGGGTTGAAAACTAGACCTGTTGTACATAGATGTAAATCATTTGAAACTAAAATTGAATAACTTGTTTTTATAAAAAAAGTCCACACATTGAATAGATTAATCTCACATCTGACCCGGCCCATCTGCGTCCATACAGTAGTGCTCCTGCTTGAGAAATGTTCTAGGTCCGCCACTGTACGTGACTGGTAATCCGATCCAACATGAGCGTACCAAACATATTGAGTTGGATATTCACTTTGTTAGCGAAAAAGTTGCTCGCGGCGAAGTTCGTGACCTTCATGTTCCGTCTCGTCATCAATTTGCTGATATTTTTACAAAAGGACTACATCGAATTTTATTTGAGGAATTTCATTCCAGTCTCAACGTCCGCCAACCTACCATTGCCAGTGCAGGGGGCTATTGGCGCATGCATACTCATGTTCATGTACATCCATCATCATGCACCATCCGGCACATATTGACTACATTCATTTATTGTTGTGTACATCCTTCTTATAGGCATAAGTATAGTTAATCTAACTTGGACATCTGTATTCTTATCCATATAGACGCAGAGGTAGTATAGGTAGTATAACTTTGTACCAATACCCAGTTAGATTAGCATTGACCAATACTATTGTTTCAGTAATTCTTGTTGTATCACTTATTATTTAAAGATGATCAATACATGATAGTTTATCGTGGAAAATACATTCTAAGATACATATCATATACTCCTTACATGTGCAACCATGTTCTTAGTGGAAGTACTTGCACCATGTTTTTTATAAAAAAAAAATAATTTTTGTAATACAAGTATCAATTCTTTAAACTATTTTCCTCAGAGTGGCCTTTCAATAAAAAATGTTTCTCATAGTATTACAGGATTGTGGAGATGGTTGCTTTTAAAACACCAAACTTAGAGAGTTAATAGCACTTACAAATGTTAGTAATGTAGCGAGACATGTGAAGAATGACCCGTTTTATAAAAAAAACAATGTGGATACAATATGGAAAAATCATGTCTGATTGCATTGCTAAAGTTGATGGTACTTGTGTCAAAAAGAAGGATGCTAAAAAAAGCTGACAAGAAGAAACACGAAGAAGAAGCAACTGGAGGCCCAACTTCGGCAGTTGCTCGCCAAGGAAAGCTAGGAGCAGCACAAGTGTTGGAGGTATTAGTCCTACCAAGGCTTCCCTTCCATCTTATTATTGACCTACACCCTATGTTTACTCCCACTAAGTGATACCTATTATTACCTCTATTCTTGGAGTTGACTTGCCTATTGGCTGGCCCCCCTTTTTTGTTGTTCGTTGTCTGCTGCACCCTTTGTCTGAGTGGCCCGTGAGTGTTGTTGTCTGCCTCACCCGTGACTTCCTGATAGGCTCGTTCCGTTCCTATCTTTTCACTCATATTTTGGGTGTTAATTGTCTAATTTTTATAATTAACCGGGTGACTATTGGGGGTTTTGAGTGAAAATTTGCTATTTTTCGGTCCCGGTGGCATTCGTATTCGGTGTAGTATTTTTGTACACAATTTGACATTTTTGGAGTAATTTGATTGTAAAATTACATAATATTAGCGGGTGTAGCGAGTTGTGATTTTACATACTGAAGTTTGTGGTGAATAGCACATTTTTGTTAAGGCCCGACAATTAGAGGACTTTTGCTAAATATTGGGCTCAACCTAAATGAGAAAAAAGGCGTTTAACAGCCAAAAGAGGAAAAGACCAGTTGGGTTTTCCCTTGGAAACAGCCAGCCGCAGATCCATTCTTTTCCAATTCACTTGGACGCATCAGTTCGTTGAGTTCCTGGTCAATTAGCCATAGTAGTTTTCTTTTTCATTCCTTCTTTGTGAATTAGCCGCAAGAGTAGTAGTTTATTTCTCCAGACTTAGCCGCAGCAGCACTCCAGAAGATCAATAGCAGTTCTTTTTGTTCTACTCATTAATTAGCAGCCGCAGAGTACAAGAGAACCTTCACTATTCTTTCAATTTCTTCCAAGTAAATTTAGATTCCAAGTAATTTCAGCATATTATACATTACTAGTTATTGATCTTAGATTGAATTTCGAATTTATTTATTTTCAGTTCTTTTATCATGTTTATGAATATTATTGTGATGTTAATTTTAGTTATGAGTAGCTAATTCCATCTAGGGTTTGAATTGGGGCTAGGGTCCATGGGTTATTGAGGGTGTGAATTTAGTTTTTCTGAAATTCAATTAATTTTCTGGAAAATTGTATAAGATTAATTATAATCGTCTATATGAATTTGATCACCTCATAAATGAATTTATGGATTTAATTCAATTCTTGTCTATGAGAAATTGAGTTAAATTAGCTTGGATCTTATACAAGCAATCTGATCTTAGAATAACCGTTAGGATTGTGAAAATATGATTAAAGTCTTGTCTATGAGAATTAATTTCATTTTCTATCTAGGATTAATTGAAAATTAATTCACTTAATTCTAATCCCGAAAGAACACCCAGAACCCGAACCATCCAATTTGAACCCTGTTTTAATATCTAGAATCAATTTATTTTTACTCTATTTATTTTTCCACTTGCTGTTAGTTAATCTTTTTTAAAACCATTAAAAACAATTATTCGGAAAGATTACCATGACTTGTGCTAGCCTGTGATCATGGACTGTATTTAAACTTCCTTTTTGCCACTCGTTGAGAGACGATACTCGTGGTCTGGTTATTCTACGGATTAACCAACTATGTTTTACTCACTAAAAAAAAATACACCGATCAAATGGCGCCGTTGCCGGGGAGTGGCACAGTTGTTTGTTAAGTACTTTCTGTGGAATATGTGAAAGCAAGTCGGTGAGACTTTTAATTTTTTTCTGTTATTTGTTTGTCGTTTTTGGTGTTCTTGCACGTGAACTAAGTTGCAGGAACCGGTGTATGCACACACGTACTCGGGAACTGAAGGCTTGATCCCATTGAATCCAAACCCCAAGAGTATTTTGAGAAGAAGAAAAGGAAGGTCAAGAAACATGGCCGGAGAACAACAACCCGCAAGGAGGACAATGTATGAACAAATTACTCCGCAATTTGCATAGATTTACGGAATAACCATGCAGGGCATTGAAGCTGCAAATTACCAACTATCTCCCGGGTTAATCAATCTAGCCCAGAGTAACCAGTTCGGAGGGATGAGACATGAAGACGCCCAGACACATATGTGTTGGTTCAATCGTCTCTGTCGGACCTCCCGAATCAATGGAGTTTCTGAAGCAACTAACAAACTACTTTTGTTCCCATTCACTCTAAGGGACAAGGCTCAACACTGGCTCGATAGCCACACTTTTGCCACCTGGGATGAATTATACCAAGCTTTCATGAAACAGTACTGCCCAACATCCGCAGGAATCAAAGCCAAGGTGGCCCTCCAGAACTTTAGACAAGGGAGGAACGAGACATTGAGTGAGGCTTAGGAGCGGTACAAGGAGCTTCGAATTAATTGTCCATCCAACATCATGGAGAGCGTGGACACCATATTTCACTTCTACAATGGGCTGTCCATTGAGAGCAAAAAGGAGTTGGATTACTCTTCTAAAACAGGTTCAATCCTAAGGCTGACATTAGAAGAAGGTGAAGAACTGATAGAGACTATTACCTCAAATGAGAGGTACTGGTATGATGAGTGAAGTGAAAGAGCTCCACAGAAGGCGGGATTATATGAGATTGATTTTAGTACAGCTGCTGCCGCAAAACTGGATGCTCTTGTCCTAAAGTTTGAGAAACTCTATGAAGCCCAGGCGCAGAACCAATACCAAGGTGGCCAGGGGATGAACCAGAGGAGTGTCCGACATATGCCAAACCAGAATCCAGTGAGAGACATGGTGCTTTCGTGTGATCATTGTTTCAGAGCCCACCTGACCAATTCATGTCCCCAATTCTTTGAAGAGCCTAATTCACCTCAGGAAGTGAATCTTATGGAGTATGCTAAGAAAGTAGAGGGTCCACTAGCACCTCAATACCAAGGAAACCGGGGTAGCTTTGCTGGCTACAACAACCATAGGAATAATTTTCAGAGTGGTGCAAACCAGTGGAGAGATAATAACCGCCAAGGTGGGTACCAACGAGACCAAGGAAGTGGTAGCAACCAGCCTTATGTGCCCCCACATATCAGGCAACATGATAATTCAGCTCATTCCCAACTAGATTCGGTGCTTGCAGAGCTGATACGGGCTAGAGAAGAAAATGAATTAAGAGATAAAAGGGCAAGGGAGGAAAAGATATTGATGGAGCAGCGGTTGAGCAACCTTGAGCTGCAACATGAGCAGCGAGTACGGGAACTAGAGAACAGACTCTTTGCAGGTCCTTCCGGGAGACAGTCTGGAAGCCTTCCAAGTTCAACAGAACCCAATCCGAGGGAGCATGTGCAGGCTGTTACGCTACGAAGCGGGAGAACCCTTCCAGAAGATTATACTCCGCCATTGCCTCAACAAGATGATGACCAGCAACCTTAAGCAACCTTAAGCCAAGAGTAATGAAGCTCAAAAAGAATATTCTCAGAAGAAAGCGGAGAGTAGGAAGACTCCACCCCTCCCGTTCACTACACGGGTGAAGAAGAGCAATGATAACACAAATCTGGTCAGATTTATGGAGCATTTGAAGCAGCTGCATATTAATGTGCCGTTCATGGAAGCTCTGACGGAGATGCCAAGGTACGCGAAGTTTCTGAAGGAAATCCTCACAAGAAAGAGGAGGTGGGAAGAGCCAGAAGTGGTGAATCTCAATGTAGAATGTTCAGCAGTTGTTCTGAAGACCATGCCTCCGAAGCGAAAAGATCCAGGGAGTGGTAATGAAATCGTCAACATTAATAGATTTCAGACATAAACTTGAGAAAGAAAAAACGCACTTTGAATAGTAAGTCATAATCCTTGGACATAAGAATCGCATGAGACATTAAAGTTAATTGGACTACTCCTATTAGGTTGACCATTTAGGATAGAATCTTGTGTCTTAACATGGTAGCAGAACAAAGTTCGGTTGTGGTTTGACTGCTTGTTTAGCACCCATGATTAATTGTAGGGAAAGTTCCCGAAATGGGACTAAAAAAGTTCGAAAATTCCAATATAGGACTGTCATGTTTTTATTCCCAAAATAGGACTAATTACTGCCAAATTTGGAAAATACTGCCATGTTTGAAGTCTGGTACTGCCAAAACATGGCAGTAATTAGTCCTATTTTGGGAATAAAAACATGGAAGTCCTATTTTGGAATTTTCAAACTTTTTTAGTCCCATTTTGGATAATATCTCTTAATTGTATCTTGTTAGAAGTCAATTTTCACTATTGTTTATATACACCCCCGATATTGTCTAGCCCGATTCGGGCTAAGGGGTGTGTTAACGTATTTGTCCCACGCTGTAAAACTATAAAACAATAAAACACTATATAACATTTTGGACTCCTCCTCCTATCAGGTTGGACTTTTAGGATGGAATCTCGGATCTTAACATAAACCTCACTAGTAATTCGCTTTGGAGATCTAATGAGGATATACTGATTCTCTCTTTAGCACGTTTAAGAAGTAAACTTACTTCCCTACAAATAAATAAAAAATTCATTAAGTTTACCATTATATTCTCACAATATGTTCATTATAAAAAGATCAAAAAGGAAACTACTCTAATGAATGTAAATATTCGAAGGAAACCAATGGAAAAATTTTGTTTTTTTTGAAGACGTTAACTAAGTACCCTTTCAATTAATCAAAATACATATTAGTAAATACATATAAAAAGGTAAGGCAAATACTATAGATAATCATGTCACCTCAACAAAATTTTTGTTGTCGAGCCTTATCTGCGTTTGAAATGTGTGCTTTGAATTACATTCTCCCACGCTTAGATTCCAGGAATCAGAATTCACCACACTTTCCATTGTGTCGTGTTGCTGGCTGTAACACAAAAAAGTATGATGTCTCTTGTGGTGTTTAATGTCCCATAGGAAATGGGGTTTGACCGTAACGTGTAAGAGTTCTTGTCATCCTGACCATATGTTTTTATCTAGGATCTTGTATATAATTAGGTTTCTTCTCAGAATCTCACCCCTTGTAGTCCCGTGTTTTAAGCCACCAAAGCTGGTAGTGAATCTTCTGCCTGCCGCAATGGATGCGCACATTGTGCTGGGTCCCATATTATCTTCAGATGCACCAGCCCCCTCTATAAAGTTTTTATCTCGAATAACATTCCTAAAGTATAATAAATAAAATCTATTTTAATATGTAACTAGAAGAATTATAAACAAGACAAATAACTTTGTATTTTTCTTTACCATGCAAAGCTCAGTGAGTCAGTCCATATGTCAGTGTCCACGACACTTATGGTTATATTATAAACCCACTTTCAATTTTATCAATATCTAATACATTCCATACTTATGGTTATATTATAAACCCACTTTCAATTTTATCAATATCTAATACATTCCATATTCTTGTTGTACATAGCTGAATATCATTGCTCGGGAATACATGATTGACCCCTTCAATCCTTGAAATTTCTAACATGAAATGGAATTTCAATTCTTGTTGTAAGACATTTTTAATTGGATGGAATTTTCTAACATGATCTGGTAGATGTTTGCTCTATGTGCGTGTTTACAATTGTCAAAATATAATCTAGTTTGGTCTCATCTGATTTATTTCAGATTGATCTGTTCTTCAATTGAAATCAATCTAATTAAGACATCTTTTTTTGAAAGTATTAAGACATCTTTAAATATATACGGAAATTAAACTAATCAAATTAATATGGACATCCCTCGTAAAAAAAAGTTTTGCGACTTCAATTGTGAGCATGCACGTCAAACAAAGGATGGTTTGTTTATGATTTAATTCAGGGGGTTTTCATGTCATGAGATTGGGAAGTCTTTTTTATTTGTTTTAGTTTACTAATTTATTTTTGGGTTTGTTCTAGATTTCAAAATAGATTTGCACTCACAGAATGAAGGGGTATGCTGAGTTCGGACTCATCCAAAATTTAAAAATAGTTTAAATATTGTTTGGGTATGCATGATCGGCCCAATACCCATGCGGATAATGAGCCCAAAACCCACTAAGGCCCCACGGCCTCGCGGCTCTACTCGCGGGCACCATATCCTTGGATGATTCGTCTTGGCTAACCCTGGGAGATTCCTAGCTGGTGGTCTCAGGATAATTAGTGGTGGACCGGGCCCAGTCCGGGCCTGGAAGGTTTAGGGTAAGGACCGGAACCGGCCCGGTAGGCTATCGGTTCCGGGCCGGTCCCGATTAATTATTTTTGTTTTATTATTTATTTCAACCCCTACCCATCCCCCCGCCCACCCCCAAACCCCTCGGAATAACCTAGCCCAGCCCACATAAACCCAGCCCAAACCCAAAAAAAAGAGGCCCGAACCGGCTGGGTCGGTTCACCTTTTTCTTACACCGGAACCGCCCCCTACCCCCCGGGGTGGGTCTAGGCCCGGAACCGGTTTCCCGGGCCGGGCTGGTCCCGCACAATAGCGGGCCGGGCCGGTTCCGGGCCGGTCGGACCGGACCGGGTCCATGACTAAGGATAATTGGCGGGAAAACAAGTATTTTGACAGAAAACACATTTACTGCACCAGATATGCAAGGGTTTATGGTTGAGGATTAGCCACTCAAGGTCCTTCACATCACCACTACCACGTACATCATGATAGTATAAATAATACTCGTAACATTTATTTCATTGTTAGAGGTTGACAACTTGTATTCTCTAGCTATAGTCTTTTTCTACTTCTTCTGTGTAATCTCAGCTTAGAATAGAGGTTCGACATTTGGCTTGGTAGGGTGTGCTGTAATTGTTTTAATATTAAATAGAACTCATCCCATTTACCTCTCCACTCTTATTTGCTAGTATTTGTTGAGTGAAAGGTGTTGGGCCCTTGGACCGAGAAGAATAAACCTCAACAATTATTCATATAAAATTTTATCCAAAAAATCTTTGTACCAACTTGTTGCTCTAACTATGTCTCTGTAAATATATAGTTAAATAGTGTATTTTGTATGTAACTTTTTTTGTTCATTTTATTGGAAAATTTAACAAAATAATGTGATAACACTTGTCGAATCAGTAAATCATTTTAAACTAAATAATAGGGCAATTTTCTCAAATATGATTAATGATCATGTGATATTAAATATTAAATTCATGTCGAATCAGTAAATAATAGGGCACTTTGAACTTTTTTGAATTGATTAATTAATTACATCATGCACTGTTGCACTGGATCATCTTTATACATGGATTACTTTGAACTTGACGTTGTAATATTACATCACTTCTTTTTAGCTGTGTTACTAACTTTGTATAAATAATATATCATTTCATTGACAGAATATACAAATGTGATGATTTGAATGAGTCAAATTTTCACCGAACTTTAGTATTTTGACTTATAAGGCCGACTTTTACTTAGAATCTCCGCATATTCAATAAATAGTGTTGCTCTTATTAAGATTTATGATTATGATACTTTTTTCTGTTTTGAGGGTGAAGAGACTATTTAGTATTTAGTTATATGAGAGTTAGGATAGGGTGTTTTGTGTTTTGGTGAGGTTTTCTATGCTTGAGGAACATTATTAATCGGAAAACTGTCAAATGGGTTCTCGTACTATTGGTGAAAAATCAATTAAGTTCTCACACTTTTAAATGAATCAATCAAGTCTATGAATTGGTTAAAAATAATCAATTTGGCTTTTTACCGATAATGTGCCGGTAACCTCATTACATGCAGACGTGGAAGTCCACTTAACGATTTTTTGTGATGCTTTCTATTTTTCAGTTGTAATTTTTTTTTTGTTGTTTTCTCTTTCTTTGTTTTTCTATCATCGTTGACTCACATTTTCTTCCCCATTCCATGCTTCCAAAGGGTCACCATACAATCCGCCACCTTGTTGCACATTATCACAACCCATGAAGTTGTATAGTACGGCCGGCCATGGTTCGACCACCGGTGATTGCCGCGAACACACCAAAAAACCCAAAGCCCTGCAATAGCACCCCACAAACCAACAACTCCCAACGATGCTTAAATGGAGAACCTCTGAAACAGCGTCAACCAAGTGAACGGCCCCTGCAACGGCTCCCCTCTCTGTCTCCATACAGGGGCGGATCTAGGATTTCGAGCCAAGGGGGCAACATTTTTTCTGTTTGGGTAGGGGTGAATTTTTTTCGCTAGTGTAAGGGGACAAATTTCTTTTTTCACCGGAGCGATTTTTTTGTTAGTGTATGGCTCTGCGACTATTTTTTATTAAAAAAAATCCATTAATACATACCTGCCGACATTCAAATCTATTACATTCTAAGTTTAGACAATGAAACATAACTTCAATATTATAATTGAAGTGCTCTAGATAAAAATATTGATACATTAAAGCGCATGAAATAGCAAATCAAAGGGAAATTATTTGAAAATAAAAAAGGATATATTATATTTTATCAAATTATTTGGGTATAAAAGGTATACATCCACCAATGCTTTTTAAATAACTTTTGCTTTATTTAATAACATGAATCTTGTCGGAACAAGGAGGGTGTTCGTGAGTCATGAAAAGTTTTCTTAATACAACAATAGTATGTATGAGATTATTATTTTTGAAAACATATTATATTGCAGATTCATATATATGGTGCATATTATATTTGTATTATTGCTAAAATAAGTTAATGTTTATTATCGATGTCATACATTGTTTTTAGAAAATAAGAAGTAAATCGATTGTGTAATTTAATGTGAAGTGTCATAGACAAACATTTATATTTTGGATTCAATTCACATGATTTGAAAATTGTTTAACTAGTGTGTTTGATAATTAAACATTACAAAATTAAGAATTTTTATATAATAAGTGTCATAAGTCTTGAACAATGAGTTACTCTATTGTTTATTTGTTTAAGTTATGTAAATTGTTTTAGATGTTATATAAAATTTTGAAAACTAAATGTTAAGGGGGGTGAGCACACATATATATCTAATTAAAGCATAAAACGTTTATGAAAATATTGCATATATATAATAGACAATTTTGAAAGTCCAAGCGGGGCGGTCCCCCCGCCCCCCCTAAATCCATCCTTGTCTCCATATCCCTGCAACTCTAGATCGAAGAGAAGATTAACATCAGATCTGGGAGCGTCGGCCCAACCGTCGCCGGACTAAAACTAATGGGCAACGACCGGGCAAACGTCCATCTTCGTTGCAGGACGAATGGAGTAGAAGAGACCGCCGGCGAAAAAACTAAAAGGAAAGAGAGAGACCTGGACTCACATGGGTGAAAGAAAAGGAACTGGTGGATGCAAACGGCAACCCCAGGAATTACTCTTCGTGTGAGGAAGAAAGAGATAAACAAAAATAAAGAAAAATATAATTTATTACCAGAAGGGCATCCATCTCATCATTAACCGGTAATACAAGTATTCAACTGTTTAGAAAGCCAAATTGGTTATTTTTTAACAGTTTATAGACTCGATTGATTCAATTAAAAGTACGAGAATTCAATTGACTTTTTGACAATAATAGAAGACTTATCCGGCAGTTTTCCCTTAATAATATGGAGTAATAATTGTTAAGCCCGTTCGCCGACCAAAAGTTTAACGGGCTCGGTGAAAAAAATAGTCCGGCCCAGTGCCAGCCCATTGCCCAATTCCCGTTCGGCAAGTCGCAAGGTCGCAGAGACGCTCAGCGGCTCAGACGCCCGTAGCTCCGCACCGCCTCACGCCGCCGCAGTCCCACCCGCCTCCCGTCGCCTCTGTCTAGTTGTCTGCAGTTCTGGCTGACTTTTTCTAATCGCCCCAGCAGGTAAGTCATAAGTGTTTATTGTTTTTTTTTTTTTTTTTTTTTTTTTTTTTTTTATAATTTAAAGTAGCTAATAGCTTGAAATCTTGAATGTTCTGTTTGAGTGTTTGACTGTCTTAGTGTTAAAGTGTTTTACTAATATGAATTTTTAAGAATGTAAAATGTGAATTTGTTCTATAATTGTTGATTAATTCGATTAATAATTTGTATCATGATTTCATTTGTGAAATTGAATAATAGGATGGTGAATCTCTTAACATATTAATATGAATTATGTTATTGAAAATAATATATTGATTATTTTATTATTTTTTGTCAATTTAAGTAGGTATGGCTACCCAATCTATTTGTAAAAAGGAAAAAACAACATTGCATTCATTTTTTTTAGCACATTACAAATACAGAAAACAGATAAGACCTAAATGACTTGATGAAACTCCAAATATTTCACTCACTCAAGAGGGATTAGTTAATGATGCACTTGAAATCGAGTGGGATACGGGAAAACCCAAAAAAAATAAGTCATTGGCTGTTAGAGAAAAGAGATCAAGTCAGACGATCTTATATGATACTTGGACCTTATCACCCGAAACTCAACTTTTACAAAGGCCGAGAATTTAAAGAAAAGATACGCCGTTTTCAACCTGCTTTGTTCAATGACTTTAATTGGTTGGAAACTTGAAATACTCTCCAACAACACATAAGACATATTGTTTTCTGTGTGAGTTTTGGCTCCGATATATTGTATGTACTTCTTAAAAATATTGTTATGAATTTTAATAAACTTTAATCATTATGCTAGAACTGTTTACCCGTTTAAATTTTTTACATTGTGTTTTTAGTGAACAGCCGACCCCAAAATCTTTTGGGGCTAAGACTTGGATGTGTTTTTGTAGTGTTTTTAGTTTACAACCGCCCCCATAAAACTCTGTCCTGACTGTTCCTGATTGGGGCCAGACCAACATAGTATTAGTTTTTTTTATGTGATACATAGTTACATACATTGATCAAATACAACTTAAATTATGTGGTAAAACAGAATTATATATATTTAGCGAGTTACTATACAATTTGCTACTTTTTCTATTCCAAAAATTCATTTTTATTTTACTTATGTATTATCTTCCTTATCTTTTTCTTCCTTATTTGAGTCAGTAATTGAGTAGTGTTAAAATTTTGTTAGTATAAAGTTAGCTTTACATCCAGTGGTACTGTGGTAGCAACAAAGCCAGTGTGGAGCATATAAGCTAGGATGTTAGTTAAGAATTAACTGCAAAATGATATTTTAAATGGGATTATTACGGAAATATTACCAAAACATAGAGAATTTCCCATAATATGACTAAATAATGAGATTTCTCATAATATGACAAAAAACAGTTACCATATAAATAAGATTCCTTTTAAATATGCTTCTTAAATGGATATAACCATGCATCCATATCATTTCCTACTATTTAAGAAAAGTAAAACACTTCCTTTTAATACTCATGCACATATTAATATTGGAAAAAACTCACGGACTCATATATTGGGAAATGATTGATGTTTTAGTGATAGAGACTTTACTAATATAAAGATAAGAGATAAATACTTCAATAAAGTGTATTGTAGAAAGAAATGGGTTTTGCTATTAGTCAAGTCGGTTATGAGCTAATTACTACCGGGGGTTAGCCTTACTGCTATATATAGAATAGTGTTAGAAGTTGTAGAGGACGGTTATTGACTTGTAAGCTGTAAGAATGAGATTGTTGCTTTAGGCCTTCGGCCATTGTTGCCTAAAGAGAATAAAGTGCCTTGAGTTTCTTGAATCAATTCTGTGATCTGTTAGGACTAGAATTGAAAGTATCTAACATTGGTATCAGAGAAGTAGATTCTGTGGATGATATGGACGCACAGATGGAATCGCGAGTGGATAAGTTGGAGAGGATTCATCAACAAAATATGGAGATGTTAAAAACGATTCTCGCCAGATTGGATACGAGGAATCAACATCGTTCGCGAAGTCGATCGCACGCATCGTCTACATCGCATCACTCTTCTCATCATCGACGTACACAACCTTCGACTAAATTAGTGGCCTCGGAAGATCGATCGATGAACAATAGATACCATCCGCTATCATCGAAGGAGCCACAGAAGAAATCGCGAACTTCTTCTCATCGTTCGCAGTCGCGAACAGAGTCTTCACCATCGCAGACTTACTCAGCGGCGATTAATTCACGATCAAGAAAGGCGTCATCTCCTGTCGTTTCTCCTAGTTCGCAGACTTCTTCACTTATGGACTCTCACCACAAGTCTTCGCTAATCGTCTCTCACCAGGCACAGCTTTCATTGCTTGGATTCCCCAGGCATAAGATTTCTTCCAAGAATGATCCGGATCAGTCAGACCTTGAAACCAAAGAGAAATATTCAGATAATCTTGGACTTGAAGATGGAGCAATTACTCGTTTTCTCTTTGGTAACAACCCCTCCAGGTACGAACTCGTTAATCCAGAATTGGAAATCAATATGCTGCTGCCCATTAAGCATAGCCCTGCAATTGATGACCACTTTCAAGTCAAGAAATACCAAGCTGGGAAGTCAAGTCCTATATCTCAAGAGAAGGAGGTAATTCTTGTAACTGATGCGATGAGGGGGATAAAATGGTTGATCCATTTGGGGAAATCTGAAGGAACTGACTTCGTATTCTCAGCCTCAAAGTGTTGCTTGGTTTATGTGTTGCTTCATAGTAGAAAAGATGGTACCATTTCGAAAATGGACTCTCCTTTTGAGAAATGTGCAGTGGCAAAGAGTTTTTGGTGGGGAATTTCTATGGAAATTGGGTAGTGGGATGATGTTGGGTGTACTCAGAGTGTAGCAGTGAATGACTCTGTTTTACTGAAAAGCATGATAGAACCACAGAAAATTGATGTCAAGCCTAGCTCAAAGGGAAAAAAGTCAAATGGAGTTGAGCATGTTAAAAAGGATGAGAATCCTGAAGATAATTCACCAGAAACATTCTATGCTGCAGAAACGTCTCTGAGTCATGAAGATCTAATAATGAAGCTCTTTGCTCGGAAAACAGTGAGATATTGGGAAGGTAGAAGTGCAAGGAAGAAGAGGAAACAGAAGAAGGAATTGAAACCTGCCAGTTCCTACCAAGACCTTCCCAACTGTTAAACTGAAGAGTTGGAATTAATGGTGTGGCCTGAGAAAGTCAAGAATATCAGAATCAATTCAGCAGGGGAGAGGGAAATCTTAGTACATTGGAAGAATTTTTCGGAGTTTGAAGATTCCGAGGAGACACAACATAGCATCATACAACAATTTCCAACCTCCCAACTTGAGGGCAAGTTGGATTTTCAGGAGGGGAGATTTGATAGAGACTTTACTAATATAAAGATAAGAGATAAATACTTCAATAAAGTGTATTCTAGAAAGAAATGGGTTTTGCTATTAGTCAAGTCGGTTATGAGCTAATTACTACCGGGGGTTAGCCTTACTGCTATAAATAGAATAGTGTTAGAAGTTGTAGAGGACGGTTATTGACTTGTAAGCTGTAAGAATGAGATTGTTGCCTTAGGCCTTCGGCCATTGTTGCCTAAAGAGAATAAAGTGCCTTGAGTTTCTTGAATCAATTCTGTGATCTGTTAGGACTAGAATTGAAAGTATCTAACATGTAGTCACATACTCACATGAGAGATAATTTTCTCTATTTTAAATCTAATACCAGTTGTTGATGATTGTTTAGTAGCATATGTAAGACGAGATTTATAAGTATTATTAGCCATGGTTTTACAGTAATTCACTTTTGATGTATAAAACAGAAAATAAAAGTGTAGGGTATGTATAAACTTATGAACATTTATCATAGTATTCCGCTTGTAAATATTAAAAGTTACCTGTGTAGTGATTTTAATGATGTATGTATTTAATCATCAATTTACTTGCTTTTGTAGATTTAGCCGCGGTGCATAAATAGGGGCCTGTAACCCCCAAGCTAAGGACTGCATCAGCTGAACTTTCTGGGCCTTTTGAGTACATACCTAAAGTCAAAGGTCCATTTTTGTCCGCATGCGCATGCTGTTCTGGTTTGATAATTTGAGTTTGTATTCAGAAACTTAAATTATTGCTGCTCTATTTAAACTGAAGAGAAGAATAAAATGAGGTTACTGAAAGTGGCTACATGTAATCTTAACCAATGGGCCATGGATTTTGATTGCAATATAAAGAACATAAAGGAATCCATTTCTAGGGCGAAAGTGGCAGGAGCTATGGTCAGGCTCGGCCCTGAGCTTGAAATCACTGGATATGGATGCGAGGATCACTTCTTTGAGCTTGACACCATCTCTAATGCGTAAGCTGCTTTGATGTTATCTAAGGCCAAGTAATATGCAATTATGCATACGATGATATGTTTTCCACCTTCAACTTGTAGGTGGGATTGCTTAAAAGAACTGCTGCTAGGTGATTGGACCGATAACATATTATGTAGTTTCGGAATGCCAGTTGTTAAAGGATCAGAGCGCTACAACTGTCAAATATTGTGTCTTAACAGGAAGATATTAATGATTCGGCCCAAAATATGGCTAGCAAATGATGGAAACTATAGGGAACTTCGATGGTTTACAGCTTGGAAGCATAGGGATGTTGAGGATTTTCAGCTCCCAAGTGATGTTTCTGAAGCTCTGACTCAGTCAATTGTTCCATTTGGCTATGGATATCTTCAGTTTTCAGACACGTAAGTTGCTATTCTTATCCCTTCTAAATTTCTGACTCTCTTTACACTGATATTAGATGCATAGATAGAAAGGTCATGTTTAAATAACCCTGATATTAGTAATCCCTCCATCTGATAACCTGTTTAAATAGCTGTGATAAAAAGGTCATGTTTCATCAAAATAGAGTTTCCCACCCAAAAGTTGTTTGGAATGGTTAAAAACCATAAATCAAGTTTAAAAATGATAAATAAAAAATTAAGCATAGCATTGTTGACTTATAAAAAAGTACTTTTATCTAAATAAATAAAATTGTACTTTGGTCTTCGGCCAAATATGACTCTTTCTTTCTGGGTGGGGTACTTTATATTGCTTAAAGAAAATGTCTAGTGATAATTCAAGAAATCAAGATTCAAGATCCATGATGAGAGCATGGATAATGTGTTATGTCAGGACTCTGTAAATAACATTGTATTCTTGTCAAGGAAAATGTTCCAGCTTCTTATAGACTTATATATGAAGAAAATAAGTAATGGAGATTTTTGTATGTTGAAAATGCATGCAAGAAAATTTCCTATGGAGTTATAGGGATAAGTATTGTCTATCTTATGACAATGATTGCATTGACAATTGCCTTATTTTATTTTTGCTAAATGATCCCACTAACTTCATCATTTTATGAATGGATCTATAAGAGTTGAATTTCATGTTGGATAGTGAAAATTAATTTTGCTTCATCCTTGTCACTTTTTGCATAAAGAAACACTTTGTTTTGCACATTAAAATAAAGGGAAAACTGTCAAATAAGCCCCCTACTACTCCTACTACTCCAAAATAGTCAATTAAACCCCTCAATTAAAAGAACACATAATCAAACCATGAACTCAAATAAAATTTTCAAATTGGTTTCTTAGCCTGTAACCTTCCGGTTCTCCGGTGAGTTCTGCCTATGTGGCTTTTAATTTTGATTTTTCTTTTTCGTTTTTGTTTCCGGTCCACTTTTCTCTCGTTCCCAGTCTTTGTGTCTATCTTTTTTTTTTAGTCTTTCTCTTTCTCCTTGGAAGATCACCAGTGACCAGCAACTATGAAGATGGCATGGCACCAGCCACTTGGTGACCAAATCTGTGCCCCTGCCGCCCAACGCACAATTCAACTCAGGCCGCCCAACACACAATTCAACTCAGGCCGCCCAACGCACAATTCATCTCCGGCTAGTGTCTTTCTTTCTGTCTCTTTCTTTTTCCCCATTGACGAAGACCACCGACGGACAACGGGTGTTAAGATGGCACCGCCCGGTGGCGGACCAGATCTGTGGTCATCTTTCCCCGGCTACGGTGAAGGCGGAAGGCCAAACGGGAGCTCGTCTGCAACACCATTCACCGTTTCCATGATAGAACGCGAGCTCGTCTGCAGAGGAAAGAATTGAAGGTGCCAGGAAGAATGAACACCTACTGACCAGATGCGAGGAAAGAAGAATGAACACTTACAGAGGAAACGAAGTGGAGTTGAGAGGAAGTGAAGCAAAAACAAATGCGGATGGGAAAGCAATAGAAAAAGAAAGAGGATTTTTTTTAAAAGACATATCATATGCCATGTGAGCATTTTACCGGGAGCTCGAAGTTCACCGGCTAAAAAGCCAATTTGAGAATTTTTTATTGGTTCGTGGGTCTAATTGAATGTTCTTTTGGTTGAGGGGTTTAATTGACCCTTTTGAAGTAGTAGAGGAGCTCATTTGACAGTTTTCTCTAAAATAAATATATCTGTATCCCTTTTGTTGTTGTTTCATATTAATAAACTTTGCTTTCTGGATCCTTTCCCTGCTTAAATGCCCTCAAATGTGTACTAGTGTAGTAATGTTTACCTAAGCATTGCACAATTTTCAGAAGCGTCAGTCTTTAATGTAATTCAACATGAAGCATTTGGTTAAGAGATGCATACTTGTATAGCTATTGGCAGATCTGACTATTTGAGATTCTAATGTGATGTATTATATGCTTTCCTCAGAGCTGTTGCAGCTGAAGTTTGTGAGGAACTTTTTGTACCTTCACCACCTCATGCTGAACTTGCACTGAATGGAGTTGAAGTATTTATGAATGCAAGTGGAAGTCATCATCAGCTAAGAAAGCTTGATCTTCGCATGCGGGCTTTTGTAAGTGCCACTCACACACGTGGAGGGGTTTACATGTACAGCAATCAACAAGGATGTGATGGTGGTCGACTTTATTTTGGTAGCCACATGCACCCTCATCACATATTGTATAAAATAATCCGAAGAGTTATTTAGTCACTCTAGCAATTTGGTACATAACAATTGAATCAAGGTGTTAGGAAAAGAATGTAATAGTTGCTTATTTTCTGTTCTGCAGATGGATGTTCTTGTGTTGTTGTGAACGGAGATATGGTAGCTCAAGGTTCACAGTTTTCTCTGAAGGATGTTGAAATGGTGTTTGCTGAAATCGATTTAGATGCGGTACACTGCAAATTCTTAGTTGACAAAATTCTTGGACAGTGCATTCAAGTAGCGATAGTGGAATGAATGAGAGAATATAAATTTAAACAAAAACTGTGGGGGTGCAATAGTTGGACTTTAGGAGGGAGTCTCGTGCAATTAACCTTGAAACTAGATATGATTCTGTGAGTATTGATTCACTATGAAATCTTAACCTCATTTTCCACATTGTAGTTAGACCGTAAAGTCTCTGATCTAGTTGCTGGGAGTTAATATGATGATTATCACACACACATACTTGCTCATAGGTAGCTATAAATACAACATTAATCTACAACTTAGAAAAGCACTGCACAAAAGTGCCCTTTGTTACTTAGTGGATTTCAATTTTTAGATTAAAGAAAATCTATTTGTTTTTTGTTGTTGTCACAGGTGGATTGCATTATTTGTCTGCTCCTGCATATATACTGCAGAAGGAATACATGTTTAGCTATTGTTTATCAACATGTTATATTATGTTGTCGATTGTCAGCTAATTGTTTACCAGTTTTTTCTTCTGCTTATATGCTAGGTTGCTAGTCTTAGGACATCTACCAGTAGTTTCCAAGAGCAAGCTAGTTCGAAATCTAAAGTTTCTGCAGTGGTCATTCCATACAACCTTTGCAAGTCCTTCAATCTCCAAAGGTCACTTTCTAGTCCTCTTAAGGTAATATGTCGTATTACTTTTCTTTTATTGTTAGAGTCCTCCAAGATTACAGCAATTACAGGAATTATTATCAAGAAACAAACTGAAATTCTTTATTGAAGAAGATGAACAGTACAGCGACCTAGGCAGAAGCCTCCCAAAAGAGAAGAGATCGTCAGTCTCTAATCTTCCCAGTTCCCAGACCAAAGTCCCAAAAGCCTCCTGCTAACTCCCCATTCCTGTCTATTTATACTAGAATACTCCTGGACCCTTATTACTTATTATTATTCTTGCTCTAATAGGCCCAATTCCTAACAGTCTATTAGGCCCAATTCCTAATATAGGTAGATCCCTAACAATACTCCCCCCCTAAACATCCACCTTGCCCTCAAGGTGGGCGGTAGGAGACAGCCAAGATCTTTTGCCCCTTCTTCTTCCTTGCACTTCTACCTTCCCAATATCTCACTGGTTTCCGAGCAAAGAGCTTCAGTATTAGATCTTCACATCTCTGAGATGTTTCTGCAGTATAGAATGTTTCTGGTGAAGTATCTTTCACTTTCTTAGTCTTCAGGCCTTCAATAGCCACCCATATTTTCATTCTTTCCTGAGGTATATCCATTACAACAGCAGCAGAATTTATATTCATGTCCTGAACATCAGGATTCTCATCCCTTTTAACCTGCTCAACTCCATTTGACTTTTCTCCCTTTGAGTTAGGCTTGACATCCAATTTCTGTGGTTCTATCATGCTTTTCAGTAATGCAATGTCGTCCACTGCTGCACTTTGAGTACACCCAACATCATGCCACCCTACCACTTCCATAGAAACCCCCCACCAAAAACTCTCTGCCACTGCACATTTCTCAAAAGGAGAGTCCATTTTCAAAATGGTACATTCTTTGCTACTATGAAGAAACACATAAACCAAGCAACACTTTGAGGCTGAGAATACAAAGTCAGCTCCTGCATCACCAAGTACATCAGCCCTACTTATTTGGTTCCATCCATTCTTGTCAGATGAGGGAAGTTTGTTTTTTCTAAAAGAACTCAAATCTTTGCTGCTATTCTTCAGGCTGGAGGAATCATGAAGCATAGAATCCAAATTGATGTAGCAGCATCCTTTGCGAGTTTTCCCAAAAAAAACTTCTATGACAGGAAAAGAATAACCCTCCATTCCCCTCTGCAATCCTCTGTCCAGAGTTGTAAGGAAAAGGATAATACCTTCAGATTGTCCCAAATGGATCAACCATTTTATCCCTCTAATCGCATCAGTTACAAGAAATACCTCCTTAGGACTTGACTCCCCTATAATTTGCACGCTCAACTCCTTCTGAAAATGCTTTATAGAAGTAACAACATCAAATGTGAAACAATCAATCTTATTCAGCCCTTCCAAACTATTATCTGGTAAACATTGAATTGGTTTAAGTATTTCTAAACCTTCCTTATTGTCAGATGAAAATCTCATAGATTGATTAACCTCCTCTTCAGAGTCTGATTCTGTAACTGAAGGGACCACCAGGTTTAATTCTGTGTTCATTCTTGTTGGTGGGGTCCTCTGGAATTCTTTTTCTAATGCGCCTATGTCAAAAGTTCTTGAAGCTGATGACCCTTGCGAACGGTGTGGAACCACAAGCGATGATGATCTGTGTGCTGACGAGCGGTGAGAGTCCGCAAGTGAAGAAGCATGTGAACTGAAAGAATAGCTCAGCGACGAAGGTGAAGATTCTTCTCTCACTCGCGTCTTTCTTGGACGCAAACTGATAGTCGGTGAAGAATTCTGCGAATGATGATGGGAAGAGCTATGAGAAGGACGATGCCAAGAACTGTGCGAAGATTGATGCGAAGTTCGCGACTGCGGATTCTGAAAAGAAACAGATCGCGACTCTGCTCGCGATAGCGGATGACGCCTACTGTCCCTCGTTCGGTCGCCAGATTTTCTGCGATGCCGCTCTTTGGATTCTTCTGAAATCGATGACTTTCGCGTATGATGATGATTAGAGTCGCGATGCGACCTACGCGAAGTGTGCGATCGATTTGGCGATCGTCTTTGAAGCTTGTTAATCATATCCGCGAAGCTAGCCTGCATATCTGCCATCATCGTTTTTAACCTAGCGTTTGTCTCCTTCATCATTCTGTCCATATTATCAAAACTTTTTTCCATCTGGGGTGTCATGTCGAAATCCTCCATGATTCAGATCTTCTTCTCCAGGAAGTAACAGCTCTGATACCAATGTTAGAGTCCTCCAAGATTACAGCAATTACAGGAATTATTATCAAGAAACAAACTGAAATTCTTTATTGAAGAAGATGAACAGTACAGCGACCTAGGCAGAAGCCTCCCAAAAGAGAAGAGATCGTCAGTCTCTAATCTTCCCAGTTCCCAGACCAAAGTCCCAAAAGCCTCCTGCTAACTCCCCATTCCTGTCTATTTATACTAGAATACTCCTGGACCCTTATTACTTATTATTATTCTTGCTCTAATAGGCCCAATTCCTAACAGTCTATTAGGCCCAATTCCTAATATAGGTAGATCCCTAACATTTATAAATTTATTTCATTTATTTCCCATGTAATGTTTCATATATGTCTGACAACTCAAGTGGTTGTCTCAGCTTATTAGCTTGTGCTACAACCTGCTTACCTACCTTGTTTTAATATTGTCCGTCGCTAGTAAGTCTTGGTTTATGTTTGTAGACTAGGTATCACTCTCCTGAGGAGGAAATAGCACTTGGGCCTGCTTGCTGGTTATGGGACTATTTAAGAAGAAGTGGCGCGTCTGGTTTTTTACTTCCACTTTCAGGTGGTGCTGATAGTTCCTCTGTTGCAGCTATAGTTGGTTCAATGTGCCAGCTTGTAGTTAAAGGTACTTTAATTTCCTGCCTCACCCAAACATGAATATTTTGTGGTCTTTAAAAATCCTTCCGAACTCAATTACTCACGCCTGTTTTATTGAAAAAGTGTAACTGATTACTAAATAACACCATGACTTCATGAGTGCTTGTTTGTTTATTGAAACAGTCAAGCTCCAATAGCTTGGCCACCTGGCCAGGTTAAGTAATTTAAAGTCCATTAAATGTAAACCTTTTCTTTTTTGAGAAGCTTCTTTTCAAGTGTACATGGACAATCTAGCTATCATGAAATTGCATACATGCTTTCACAGTAGTTGTTACTGAATACTTATAAGAGAAATGCTTATGGGATGCAGAAATTGCAAATGGGGATGAACAGGTCAAGGCTGATGCTATGCGAATTGGCCAGTACACTGATGGACAGTTCCCAATAGATAGCAAAGAATTTGCTAAGCGTATATTTTATACGGTTTTCATGGGGTCTGAAAATAGGTGTGTTCTTAAGAATAGTAGTAGGGTGCCTTTGGAGCTTACCTTGATGTGTAACATGTGTTTAAGGATGTTTTCTTTTGAACTGTTTTCAAAAGAAAATATCCTAAGACTTGAATTTTTAAACATCTAAGGATTTAAGTAATTCTGAATGTTACCACAAAAATTGACAACTAAGTGAACTAAATTTATACAAAATATAACATGATCAAATTTGTATGAAAGTTTGATCTTTTTCTGTTCCTTGTAAAATCCAATTGAACTGTAAATTATTTTACAATTGGTATTGCTCTATCGGACAATCTCAGGAAAAAATATAAGCAACAAAGGCCCCGATCAATTTTGGTTTCTGCAGCCTTCAGAAAAATTCAGTTATGTTTTTGGAAAATGAATGCAAAACTATCAAAGATCCTCCCATCTTCTGTTTGTTTTTGTTATAAAAAATTAGTATTCATTCTTTAAACAGTCCGCATATTGGTTGTAATATGTTAATTGTTATGATTGATAATAGTTCTGAAGCCACGGCATCACGGGCAAAGCTTCTGGCAGATGAAATTGGATCATGGCATCTAAATGTTAGCATAGATGGTGTTGTTTCTTCTTTGATCTCTTTGTTCCATACACTTACAGGGAAGCGTCCACACTACAAGGTATAATAATATTTGACGTTGCACTTTTTCTTGTGTATAAATGGACCTGTGAACTCGTAAGTCATAACAACGATCACATTTTGGCCCATATATAGGGTTGGTATTGACTAGCTATTGATTCTTCCCTTCTAGGTAGACGGGGGATCTAGCATTGAAAACTTGGGCCTGCAAAATATTCAAGCTCGAGTCAGAATGGTCTTAGCATTCATGCTTGCATCACTCTTGCCATGGGTTCACAATAAACTGGGATTTTATTTGGTATTAGGTAGCTCCAATGTAGATGAAGCATTGCGTGGCTATCTAACAAAGGTCAGTCAACATTTTTTTTGGGGAGGTAGAGTGGAGATATTCGTCGCGCATGTGTATCATTATAATTATTACTATTACTCCCTACGTATTGTTTTATTTGCTACACTTTCCTTTTTGGGATGTATTGTAATTCTTGCTACACTTTCCGTTTTTGGTAAGTTTTCCCTTTAAAAATACTCATTTACCCTTACTTTTTCTACTTTTTCATACTTTTCCACCCCCTCATACTTTTTTTACACTATTCATTATCTCTACTACTTTTCCCTTATATGTTGTGTCAAACCTTATTGTAGCAAACAATAGAATACAGAGGGAGTATTTGATAGAGACCCGGACTTATGGGCTTATTATGTTAGTAAAATGTAATAGTGGGCTGGGCCAATTAATTAGATAGATTGAGGGAAGCCCATTAGAAAAAGAATAAATAAGGTGAGCTGGGAGTAGAAAAGTAGGCTGGTTTTGGCTTTGGTTGGGCTGGGACTTGGAGAGAGGCATCTCTTAAAACTGCCATACTTTGTTCTCTCTCTTGTTTGTTATACGACTCTTCCCCATTACTGTTCATCCATCGTTTTTCTCCATTATTGTTGTTAGAATTCTCCCTCGCAGGTCTGATCTCTATCATTGGTATCAGAGCATTCATTCCTGTAGCCTATCAACGGTCGATACACGCAGAGCGATGGAAGGAAGATTGGAGAAATTGGAGCGCGAGTTGGCGAGGCGATCCGCAAACATGAAGCGCGAGTTGGCAAGGTGGTCCGCCGAAATGAAGCGCGAGTATGAGAGGCACCGCGAAGAGGACAGAATCAGTAGTGAGATACGCGAGTTGATTAGGAAGGAGCTTAATCACCACTTTAGCGGACGTTCAAAAACCTCCAAAACGAGTGCGCGGAATGGTAGCCGCGACTCCAGATCCTCTGCAGGAAAGTCGAGAACGTCGTCTCCCAGTTCGCAGATCGCTATTCAACAGTCGCAGAGCTCATCAACGTCGAAGAATTCGTCGCTACTTGCTTCGCGTGGTTCGCAAGTTTCGTCGCAGAAGCTGATTGTTTCTACCAGTTTGCCGTCTCTACTCGGACCCCACCAATCATCATCGCGAGAGGCTTCTACCAGTCCGAGGATGGTGTCGCAATCGGAAGTTATCAGTTCACAACCACTTGACTCTTCTTACACAGCTTCTCAAGGTGCTCAAATTTCTCCAGAATTGAAAACCGAGTTGAAACCGGCTGTCCAACCACTTTCAGAACAGAGTGAAGTTGACATTCTTCCTCATCAGGAAATTAATCGTCCAGAGCACACGGATGCGTCCTTGGGAAGGGTCAACAAGGACAAGGGAGAGTATAAAGAAGGTTGGTCTCACAAAATTCATGAACAGGGATTGGGTGTTTTGATGGATTTTGTGTATCGTCAATCATCACACGTTACTTGGGAATGGCTGAACAGGTTTGTCAGCTTCAGAATTGATGACTTCACGTCCATGATGTATACTCAAAATGGGTTGGGGGAAGGATTTAAAGGGAACTTTAAGGAGGATGGTGGATATGTTACTGAAATTGAGGCTGCTTTGAATTTGTTATTTGTCAATGATATCAATTATGGTCTTCTCAAAGATGCCATTATAGTTGGTGAAGTTGTTAGGGGGTTGCCAGCTGTTTGTATATCTGTTCAAGAGGGAACTGTAGGTGTTGGCTACTCATTCCGTATTGCTATTTCTGGTAAATGGATCATAATACTCCGGAAAAGAGGTAAGGATGGGGAGAAGGGTGTCAGTGCTCACACAATTACTAATATGAGAAGGATGGAGAAATACATTTCTGAGGCTGACAGTCAGGGCCAAGCTATTGTGGCTGAAGGTGTTGTACTGTTTTGGGGAGCTTTAGCAAGGCAATTGGGGAAGAATGACTTACAGAAGAGTGCAATTGAAGGATCAGTCTTCATTCATTCAAAGGTGAAATCTGGGATGGCATTTAAGAGTTTCAGTTTGATACTATCTGCAATATGGGACTCCTCTAATGCTCAACTGAGATGGATTGATGAGTTTACTCTTAACAGCATAGTTGAAGGAAAAGCTCAAAAAGTAAAGGAATTCGATGAGGTCTTCACCTTTAAGAATCTGGAAATTCTTCTTCTCAAACTTATTCTGGTTTGTCAAACTACTCCACTCATTAGTGACACAGACTACTTGTGCCTTGAGCTTCCTTTGTGGAAAAATATACTAGAGAGCTTTGCAAAAAGTATGCTACTGGGTGGAAGATGGAATCAGAAGACTACTCTCACAATACAGGCAGGGCTAAGTGGAGGACTAAAACCAAGGTGTGTCACTAGAGATTTGAAAGGTGAGGTTCCAGTTCTGCATGAGAAATACAGTGACAAGAATTACTATATATGGTTTGATACAACAAGTGGGTGTGGATCAATCATTTCATGTTACAGAGTTGAATGGGAAAAAGGGTGGAAGAATCCTAGGAATGTGGATCTCTTCCAATGTATGGGCAAGGATAAGGAGCCTTTTCATACAAAAATAGTCCCAGCTAGCCTACTGGGAATGGAGGAAAACTTGAATGTTATGAAAACTATCAACCCAGAATACTTGTACTATGAAGCAGGAAATGATTCAAAAAGAAAAGGTGTTGGAGTCATGGGAAAGGAGGTAAGATTAAATAGTGGACCACCAAGTAATTTCAGAAACTTCATCAATTGTACCCTGAGTTGTTTGGCCCAAGGATTCAGTTAATGGATATGATTTCCTCATTCCTGATATTGAAGGAACATGGAATGTCCAAGCCATGATGTATTCTGAAGAGTCTGGTGCAGAAAACCTTTATGAAATACCTAGATTTGTAGGTATCTACTTCCAAGAGGATTGGCAGCCAGTTGTTTCTGCTATTATTGAGGAACTGCCCGATGAGAATGTTTCTATAGGGGTTGAAGCACTGGGAGTTGGCCAGGTTTTAATGAAGTATCATGTAACAATGCACTCGCCTCAGCTGCCTGCTATGGAAAAAGTAATGGAAATGGTTCAGTTCATGAAGTTCAGGGTCCTGGAATTTGGAAGATATTGGGAAGGACGAGGCGCAAAGATGAGGAAGGAGCTGTTCATTATTACTGTCTTCTATGACCCACCTTGAGGACAAGGTGTTTGTCAAAGGGGGGAGTGATGATAGAGACCCGGACTTATGGGCTTATTATGTTAGTAAAATGTAATAGTGGGCTGGGCCAATTAATTAGATAGATTGAGGGAAGCCCATTAGAAAAAGAATAAATAAGGTGAGCTGGGAGTAGAAAAGTAGGCTGGTTTTGGCTTTGGTTGGGCTGGGACTTGGAGAGAGGCATCTCTTAAAACTGCCATACTTTGTTCTCTCTCTTGTTTGTTATACGACTCTTCCCCATTACTGTTCATCCATCGTTTTTCTCCATTATTGTTGTTAGAATTCTCCCTCGCAGGTCTGATCTCTATCAGTATTATTATTATGTTTTGTTATTGTTATTATTATCATTATTATTAATGTATTTATTGTTATTAACAGTAATATTATATGACCATCATCATCATCATCATCATCTATATTATCCCCTGTTAATACTATACACAGAATATATGCGAGTAACATACAAATACTTGCTAGAAATAATATATACGTAGTATATAATTATCATTTTATTATTACTGTTTGCATGTTGCAGTATGATTGCAGTTCAGCTGATATAAATCCAATTGGAAGTATTAGCAAGATGGATCTTCGAACATTTCTGAGATGGGCAGCCATTCATCTTGGTTACTCATCATTGGTAGATATTGAAGCAGCTCCTCCCACTGCTGAATTGGAGCCTATACGCTCTAACTATAGTCAGGTGTCACTTTTTGTGCATTATTGTATTTTTCACTCTTTGTTCCAGACACGTCTTTCATAATCTACTTATTTCTATTCTAAAGTATGAACGCCCATGCTCTCTATTTTTGCGAAGCAGCTAGATGAAGTGGACATGGGAATGACATATGAAGAACTCTCAGTATATGGAAGATTGCGTAAGATTTTCCGTTGTGGACCTGTATCAATGTTTAAGGTTTGTCCTTCAGCACATGAAATATTATGTATTCCTGCCTTCTGGGATCCTATATAAACTGCATTTGCATAAAACATTAAACTTGGCTTTGTAGAACCTCTGCTATAAATGGGGTACGGTGTTGACTCCAAAGGAGGTGGGCGATAAAGTGAAGCACTTCTTCAAGTACTATGCCGTTAACAGACACAAGATGACTGTGTTAACACCTTCATATCATGCCGAGGTACTCATTCTTCTTCTTCTTTAGAGCTCAATTTGGAACATTATTGAGTTTGGGAACTAGTAACAAATTTACCTATACTTGATCCTAAAAAAAGTCTTGGAAGACATATACCCTTGTCTAAAAATAGTTAAATAAATTTGATAAAGTTATATGATGTCAGTAAAACGAGTTTTAATCTTATAATAGAAAAAAGTTGAATGTAAATATATTATTTAACTCATTTTTTTGACGGTCTGATATACTTTTTTCATTCAATTTTACATTTTTTGTGTTAAATTGTTCCAAAAGATATGCTCAAAGGATATATATAGTGTATTTGTCATATTTGGTATATCTGTTCTATCTGCCTTTAGTTTATCCTCACCCACCGTTAAACCCGCTTTTTGTGTGTGTTGTGCAGAGTTACTCGCCAGAGGACAACAGGTTTGATCTTCGACAGTTTTTATATAATGTGAAATGGCCTTATCAGTTCCGGAAAATCGACGAACTTGTGAATGAGCTTGATAGTGACCAAGTTGAAATCACAAAAACAGTACACGGTAGTGGTGGTATGGGTGTTGTGGCAGCTGGTGCAGACAACCCAAGCGCAGGGATTTAAGTTTCTCCTCTCATCAGTCATCCCATTATTTGTGTTGATGACTGGTGCGTGGCCTCACCGCTCCTACCAAGGGCCTAGATGGATGAGGTAAATAGCTAGACGGGTGGAAGTTAGCAATCTCATTAATAATTTATATGTGATGTAAGTTCAGGCGTCTTATTTATTAGTAGCTGCTCTCATCAATAAATAGATCACAGACGTATCTTAAAGAATTTTTCTTTGATTCTGCTTCATCATAGTCATCACCACTTTATTCCAACTACATTGTGGATAGGACGAAAGATACCATTTATACGGATAGAATGTTAGATTGCTGTTAGCCTAAGCATGCCTTGATTCAAACTAATAGTAGTTGTAGTTACCCTTGTAGTGCAGAAAGTTTGATCATCTTGATGGTTGCGCTTGAGCGGGTTCTTATACTATAGTAAGAGCACATTTCTCACTTTACACCCAAATTTATTCTTTGTGTTTTTAATTTTTATTGATATTTTAATATTTTTTAAATGTATTAAGCTTGTAATCAGCTGAATCTTTGGTATATAGAACTGAATGTCTGATGCATTGATGTAATAACCAATAAAAATAGTAAACAATCAATTATTGGTCTAAAGAGTTGTATACGAATAAAATCTTTGAAATACTATATCCAACTAGAGTTGCATATATGAGTATATGACCTCGTGGATATAAAACACGCATAGTATTAATAAACTAACACCATGCATTGAATACACATTGCCATGGTTCTAAAAATCGCTCTAGGCGCCCGACTAGTCCCCGCCTAGGCGGTAGTAGGGCGCCCCGATTTTAGTCTAGGCACTCCGACTAATTGATTTGGCGCCTAGATGAATTAGTCGATTGCCTAAGGCGCCTAACTATCCGCCTAGAGCGCTTAATCAACCGCCTAGGCATCTAGATTTATCGAACATTTTATTTTACTTTTTATTTTAGTATTCTAAGAGATATATGTATCTTTATTCTAACAACGCATATGAAGAAAGCTACTAGTTATAGATTAAAATAAACACTATACACGTTTTTATACATATTCTTATGTGTTATTATTATTTATTAATAATTATTACGTAGTATTACTTGAATTTAAGAAGTAAGTGTGTATGATATGTTATTAAATGTGAAAACTCTTATCATTCATGCATCTTAGTGTGTGTATGTGTGTGTTTATATTTTATATACACATAAACACAACATTGATAATCATATTTATGCAAAAATATTTATAAAACTATAATTTCTATGTCTCCGATTAATCCCCGCCTAGCTGTCTAGGTGCTAGGCGTTGTGCTGGCGCCTGACTAGCGCCTAGCGCCTTTTAGAATATTGCACATTGCTATAACTTGCTTGTAGAAGGGAAGATGGCACATTAGTCATGGACTCGGGCCGGGCCGGTTCCGGTTCCAGGCCGGGCCCAGCCGGGCTTTTTTTTTGGGAAGGAAGGCCCGGGACCGGCCCGGGTAGCCACCGGGTCCGGGCCGGGCCGGGCCTCTGGTTCGGTCATAATTTTTTTTTTTTTTTTTGCTTTCCTAACCCCCCCACTCACCCCCCCACCCCCAAACCCCCAAACCCCTCCTAACCATCAAGCCCAACCCAGCTAACCCCAGAAAATGGAAAAAAAAAAAAAATCAATTCGGCCCGGGCCGGTTCGCCAAATACAAGGCCCGAGCCCGGACCCGCCCCCCCACCGGGCCTAGGCCCGACCCGGACCCGCGAACCGGGCCGGTTCCGGGCCCGCACAGTGGCGGGCCGGGCCGGGCTGCCCGAATCGGGTCCATGGCTATGGCACATCCGTTTCGGTCACGTTGTGTAGCTAAAGTTGATACATTTCACCTTTATGGTGGAACTGGAACTTTTGTTGGACCCTCATTGCATTGAGATGCGGCTAGGCATTGAGATTTGAGGTGTCCTTTTACTCCTTTATAAGTTGCTCGCACTTGCCTTAGGAGTTAGGATTGGAATATATGGGGTTGAACTTTTGTGTGTACGATTATTCTCGTTTTTTGTCCTTCCAACTAATAAGTTCTCAATAACTTATGCACATCCTTTGAGGTTCTGCAAATCAAAGAACAATTAAGAATTCAGCATATTAAGCATCTGGATGCATACGTAATTGATAAATCCTAAGAGCATCTCCAATGATAAAATGTGCACGGTGCACACGTGGCATGAGAAATAGCCACATAAATATTAGTAAATAAATTTTTTCTCTCCTTATTTGAATGATTTTATACAGTTTTGGTAAGTTTTTCTCCACACTGTCAAGAAGACCGTCTAGATGTTGATATTGTTGTTGACATTGCAGGGAAAAACTTGCCAAAATTGTATGAAATCATTCAAATAAGGAGAGAAATAATTTATTTGCTAATATTTATGTGGCTATCACTCATGCCACATATGCAACGTCGACATTATAGCATTGGAGATGCTCTAAGATCTGTTAATTCTGTATCATGTACACATATTTAACTTTACTTATTTATAAAATTCTTCCCAAAAAAGTCAATATTGACACTTAAATGATTACCTTTGGATCCAATGTAGGGATGGACTGGGATGGGGCAACCTGGCCCGCTACCCGTTCCAGCCCGCCACTGTGCAGGCCCGACCGGGCCCGGTTGACTGGGACCCTACCCGGTAGAAGAAATAAGCGGGCATTGGGCTCCTATTTTGGTGGACCGGTCCGGCCCGTCCGTTCCGGTAATCCGGTCTGGGCCCAATTATTTTTTTCCCCATTGGGCTGGCTGCTAGGTGGGTGGGGCTGGACGGTTTGGGGTGGGGGTGGGGGTGGGGGTGGTGGGGTTGCAATTAATTCAAAAAGGCAAAATTTAAAAAAAATTAGTTAATGCTCGGCCCGGCCCAGTCCCGGTGCAAACATGGGCCGGTACCGGGCTTGATGTTTTTGGGCTTGGAGCCCGGATCTGGCCCAGTCCACCCCTAATCCAATGGGATATCATCCATCTTCCATCCTAGAACAAATGCTGCTCAGCCTTTTCACCAACATGACCTTCCTAAGGTAAATTGGAACCACCTTTTTTCTCAACTTGACAATTGTTAATAAATTAGCCTGAATTGTGTTTTTGTTGTGTTTTTAGCTTTAAAAAAATACGGAGTAGATGAAAAGCTCTGCAAAGAAACCAATTGAATCGCTTTGCTATTATATACGGAGTATATAAGATAGTGAAAGTAAATTCTAATTCAATAGGCACTCAGTATATAACAAAAATATAATTTTCAGATTTGAATTTCAAAATTAAAATCTTTACCTTATTCTAATTTTCACACGTAATAGTTTTATCATCACCTTCTTACCATCACAGTGCACTCCTAGGTTCGTATAGAAGCCTAAAATTAGAGACTTTGGCTTAGTGGTGGACTCGAGTCGGGCCGCCCGGACCGGCCCGGTTCATGTGGCCCGGTACCGGGATTCGACCCGAACCTGTGGTAAAAGCGGGGCCGGGTAGGGCTAGGATATATTTGCATTGGCCGGGACCAGAATTTTATTTTATTTTTTTTCCAACCAAACACGGCACTAGCCGTTGCCAAACGGTTATTTGCACTAGCTGTTGGGTGGGGGTTGGGGGCCCGGGCGTTTGGGGTGGGGGTAAAAAAAAAACCTATAAATACTCCTATTTTTATACATTTTTCTACACCTCTTTCCAACTCTTCCTACTCTCTAATATTCTATTATTCTTAATCATCTCCAATTCTCCATTTCTCCATCTTCATCTTCTCAAATTATCTCATTATCCATTCTATTTTACTATTTAATAATTATACAATTATTATATCTACTTATATATTAATTATCTACTTATAAATACATATATTATATTACTTATATTTATTATCTACGTAATCTCTACTTAATACATACATATTACATCTCTTTAATATATACGTTATATATTAAAGTATTAAATATAAGTGTATTACTCATCTTATAGTAATATACTTATATATTATATACTATAAATATTATATTATATATTAGTTATACAATTATTATATCTACTAAATACTAATATATATACTTCGAATTATTTACTTATATATATACTTAATATCTACTTATTATATACTACCTCCGTCCCACTATGTTTGGGACAAAGGGGTGTGGCACAACTTTTAAGAAAAAGTGGAATTGTGTGGTTGGTATTGAATTGATGAAGTGTGAATAAAATAAGAATGAATGGTAACCACCCAAATATTACCAAATATGGTATGAGACAAACTTAATGGGACGACCGAAAAAGGTAAAACGGGACAAAGTTAAGGGGACGGAGGGAGTACTTGTTATTTACTAATATACTACGTATTACTTATATTACATCTAATTAATATATTAATTATATATAAGTCTACTACACATGTTATATACTTATATATACTTAATATCTACTTAATACATACTTGTTATTTAATACTCATACTTATAATTGTCTACTATACACAATATATTATACATTAGTTACACTTTAATTAATATTAGTTAAATACATTCTATTACTCCCATTAATTAGTATACACATTCATACATTTTTCTTATTGGTTACAATTTTTTAACATTATTAGTTGATTACTTAATTGTTACATTTTTTATTAAAGTAGTACATTAGTTCATTACAAATTTTAATTAATTGTTACCTTTTTGACTACTTTACAAAACTAGTTAATAAGTAGTTTGAATTTTTATTTCAAAGAAAATAAGTAGTTCAAATTATTTTTTTAAAGTACTTCACATTTTATTAAAGTAGTTTTCACTAAATTAAAGTACTTGGAAATTTGCTATAATTAATATAATAATCGCATTTTAGTTAATTAATTATCATTTTAATTAAAGTAGTTCACATTTCACTCGAATTGTTTTTATAAAAAAATATTAGTTAGAATTTTATTTCAATAAACTACACTTGTTAGATTGAAGTATTAATTAAAATAGTTTTAATAAGTTGCATTACTATTTTAGTCATATTAATATATTGAGATATTACCCAAAATGGGACTAAAAAAGTTTGGAAATTCCAAAATAGGACTTCCATGTTTTTACTCCCAAAATAGGACTAATTACTGTCATGTTTTGGCAGTATCAGACTTCAAACATGACAGTATTTTTCAAATTTGGCAGTAATTAGTCCTATTTTGGGAATAAAAACATGACAGTCCTATTTTGGAATTTTCAAACTTTTTAGTCCCATTTCGGGAACTTTCCCTAATATATTTGTTCAAATTTAATATTTGTTACATTTTTTAAGATGAATTGTGGTAACCGAAAGAACGAGATCCAGAGGAATAATCCTAGTACACGCAAAGGTAATTGACATATTGGGTCTTCTTCTCAAAACGAAGATGATTTTGAAACAGATTACCAACGGAGAGACGGGGATGCGATGTCCGACATGCAACTACAACAAGAATTTGAGCAACATAATAACCAC